GCGCGCTGGCTGAGAAGCTGCTGCCGGAGCCGGGCGTGGAGTGCGCCCCCAGCGCCCCGGAGGCGGGTCCCGACGCGCGGCGCTGCTGGAGGTTCTGGAGGACGGTGCAGGCGGGGCTGGCCCAGGCGGAAGACGCTCTGACGCGGAAGCGCGCGCGCTACCTGCTGCAGAGGGCGGTGGAAGTGTCCGTGGAGCTAGGGGCCGACTGTACCTGCGGCCCCCAGGAAGGAAACGGTACTTAAATCTGCTTCCCAGCCCAACCCGACTTGCCTTCTGGGAGGGAGGCCTCCAGCTTCCAAACACCAGCCCTTGGGGTCTACGCTGATCTCTAAAGAATTTGGTTATTCTTATGGTCCCTATTAAAACCCGAACATCTTGGGAACCTCAACTGGTGTTGTCTTTAGTGACACAAATCACTACAGCCGAGAACACTGCAGAGCCCCTACTCTTTTTGACCCACAGCAGGGTGTAAATTAGTCTAAAACTTGCCCGGGCCCATTCAGTTAATAGGTAGGCACTGCATGGTGGTAGGTCTATTTTAGTAGTAAAGATCTTGATTACTCGAATTCTATATAGATACCTTCAATGTTTTTTTTTTTTTTTAATTTTCCTTGGGAGTCTTCCCAGCATCGGGAGTTATACTTGTAAAACATATGGTCCTTAAGGCGGCATTTTGAAAGTATATTTGCATTGGTTGAATAGACTAAGTCAGATTCTAAATTCTTTACCTTTGTTGTTATTTTACGCTCTTGTGACTGTGCATCCTACTTTATTACAGAGGGTAGGCAAAATAACAAGAACTCCCTCAATTTGGCATGTTATTATTGATGGGTTCGGTCACCGAAATGTGTGAAAGTACACTTACATCATCTTAAATTCATCTTTGAATTATCAGAGTCAAAATAGATTTGTTCAAAATTGTGGCAATAGATAGAAAACTTTTTTAAAGCTGCAGCTGCCTTTTCACTTATTAAAAGTAAAGGATTCCCAGTTAGCTGAAGTGGGTAGATTAGATTTTCATTTAAATTTAAAATTTTTATATAGGTCATATTAATGAGTCATCATCCAATGAGAGTTTTCACTGGAAAATATACACAAAAATTACTAAAGTTTAGAGTAAATTACTAAAGTTTAGAGTCAGTCTTTATGCACTTTTAAAGATAAGCAAGGTTTCCACACTTGGCCCTGCCACCCGTTTCCTCTTTTCCAAGAGCAAACACTTTTCCCTCTTAACTGATTATTGCGTAACTTACCCTTATGTCTTAAAATACTCTCGTTATGTTATTAAACTCATTGTTATAATTTTGGTTAAATGTGAATTCAATGTTTATAAAATTTTGAGTGGAAACTGTTCACCTATGGTAGTGTAGTGGATATGATTTTTTTTCCTTCCTGCAAATTTTCCTAGAATTACCTCATTTTAAAAGTTACTCAATTCTCTTTACTTTTCACTAGGTCAGCCTAAAATTTCTAGCCAGTTGTCTAAATCTTTCCTGTACAAAACCAGAACATCAGATATTTAAAAGTTTTCTTGAAGTCTGGCCTAGAGACCTCCCTTAACTTGGAGCACTGCTGACATATCTTAGGTGGGCCTTAACCATCATCCTAGCGATTCCCTTCTCCTGAGTCCTGTGCTGGAACTCTTTCCTGGAGTTTTTGTCTTTTCTGATTTACTTCCCATGGTGTAGTGCATTTACTAATAGTTTACTGAGAGGAAAAAAAATGTCTGCTAATATCATCAAAGGATCCTTTATGTTTGTTATGTTTTAATTTCTATTATTTTCAGCTTAACGATTTTTTAGTAGTTTCCATCTCCTAAAAATCCCCATCTCTTCATGCATATTTGCTTACCTTTTCCACTAGCTCCTTTAATATACTACTCACTAGTCTTATACCTCAAACATCTCTAAAGTTTTATTTTTTGTTTTGTCTGTTGACAACGGGGTTACATTTTTTTCAGTAAAGGCCAAGGTAAACATTTGTATCTAGGGAAAATTAAGACACTTTCTAAAGGAGGAACAAATTTTCATTTTTAAATCCTTTCAGGTCCAAGTCTGTTTTGGTGGTCTGAGAAGAAAAAAGATGAGCTGCTAAAATTTTGGGAAAATTATATTTTAATTATGGAAACTCTAGAAGGAAATCAGGTAAGTGTTTTCATACTTTGATAAATTCTGCATAGATGCAATCCTAATTTTTTCAAACATTCTGTAAAAACAATTCAAAATGCCCATCTTAAATATAATATAATATTCAGGTGTACAGTTGACTTTTGAAAAACTTGGAGGTTAGGGGTACAGACTCCAACTGGGTTGAAAATTGGATCTTGGCGTATGTGGCTCCACAAGACAGAGTCAGCAACATTGAGGTTGGTTGAATCTCAGTGCAAACCCTCAGTTAGAAAAAAGTCCACATGTAAGTGGAACTGAGGAGTTGAAATCCATGCTGTTCAAGAATACTTTGTTTTCTGAATGTAAAAAACTCCAACCAAAATAAAGGGGAAGGAAATCAGACCACAAATTTGAGATCTGATTTCTGGTGTCTGCTGATCTCTGTTCCCCTCTCTAAGGGTCGTCACACTGGATCATCCTAGATTTTCTAAATTTTTTGAAGGTAGACATTGCTTTGGAGTTCCTGTAATATTTGAGACAATTTCCCCAGGGCTAGGAAGTAAGTGTTCTTTTGTTAAATGTCATGCACTGTCTAAATCATACCATTGATGAAATCAAGTACTTAACCTCACTGGCCTGCAAGTCACCCTCTCACTGTTGACCCCTCTTGCTCCTAGATACTATTTCCAGCAGTTTTGGAAGTAAGGAGTGCATTGCATTAGTCATTAAAATTCCAGCTTTAAGCATGTAAAATAAATAGATAAAATTGAATGTTAACTGAGGAAATTGAAGACTTACAGTTAATTTTAACTATCATTAAAGGAATTTAGTCTTTATTTCTTTGATGTTTATTTCCAAAGTATTAATTTTTAGTTTCTTCATGTTTTAAATAATCTACTTCTAAATATATAGCCTTGTTTTTGAATAAATACACCCCTTGGAAAATTTTACTGAAAGCAATTCTGAGGTTGTAGTTAAGTATATAATTGCCTTTTAATTTTGTAATATTTCTCTTTTTCATTTACCACTGTGCAGACATGGTTATGAGAATAGAAATTTGAAGTAACATTTTCAGTTGACTTGGAACTAGTTTTTGTGAAATCTTGGCAATTTTTAAGTTGACAGTATTCTCTTAAGATTACCTAATCTAGTGCAGTAATTCACAAACTTTAATGTTTTGTAGAATCACCCAGAGCATTTATTTAAAGAATATGTTGCTGGGTTAAGTCCCCAGAGTTTCTGAATTTAGTAGACCTGGGATGGGGTCTGGAAAGTTAAATGCTTTACAAGTCCCCAGGTGATGCTTTTGTTGTACCGTTTTAGGGACCACACTTGGAAAATCCCTGGTTTAGGGGTTTCTAGTCTTAAGCTGTAGTCTACCCAGGAGCTGGCCATCCTGACAAGGTTTTATGAGTGGAGTCTTTATGAGGCATCAATTTCAAATATGTGCCAAGCATTGTTTGGGGTCTGAAATAATTACTCACATATTCGAAAATAATAGATTTGAATGAGTAATAAAGAGAAAGCATTATTAAATTAAAATAAACTTTAATGGTTTTCTTAATCACATCCATGAGACCCTGCTATTTATTCAGAAACTGATTTAGCTATACTTTGAAGGATATATAAATTGGATTCTGTAGCAGAAATACCTCCAGCATAATCTAGGTAGTATGAAGAACACTGAACTTGGAACTGGCTTTACTTCTAAATGTATAGCCTTGAGCAACTTGAGGCATTATAATGAAACAATATCTCAGTTTTTTCCTCTTTGTAATATACTTGTTGTTATTATTAGCCCTGCCTTTTTCCCAAAAGAGTTGAGGCTTGCATGACACAATCTATGATATTCATTGTACTGCATTATTGTGAGTATTCTAGTTTATGTTAATTTGCTTTGACACACTCAGTCATACCTATGTTAATTTGTATGACTTAAAAACTGGAAGAATAACCTTCTGCACAGTTTTTACATGGGAGAAAAAACAGAATGGCTCTTATTACATAAATTGATGAAAATTTTATTACGTATCTAAAAGTGAACTAATTTCATATGGTTTTTGCTTTTTTTTCAGATTCATGTTATAAAGCCAGTTTTACCAAAGTTAAACAATCTGTTTGAATATGCAGTGTCAGAGGAAAATGGTAATGGTTACTTTTTTTTTTTATGTCATTTGTAGTTTTTTCCCGCAATTTATAGCTAACTTGTTTATTGTAGAGAAGTTGGTAAAACCATTGAAATATAAAGGAGAAAGGAAAAACTATTAATGTTTCAAATACTGCAGTTCAGGATTGATTGTTCATATTTTTTCTCATCTTTCAAATGTATTTACTTGTATAACCTTAAGTAATCTTTGAGAACATAATTTCAAATGGCTGTGAGGCTTTCTATAATATAGAGGTATGGTTGGCTTTCTTATCTTACGATTATAGAGAATTTTAAACATTTATAGAAGAGTTTGATTTATCCCATCACAACCTCAGCAATGATCGATAAGCTTGTGGCCAGCCTTTACCTTATATATATTCCTGTTCCTCATCCTCACTGCCAAGTGATTTTGTAGCAATTGCCTCGCCAGATAGCAATTCACCTGTAATTGTTTATATATATTCTTAAAAGATAAGGGCTCTTTAGTAATCTTTAATGATGGTATATTCGATATTTAACATTTATCTGTTTTGTTGTTTATTACTTTGGAGAGGTTAGATTATTGTTCTGTATCTTAGACTTTGCAGGAAGAGAAAATGCCAAGAGAATTTTAAATATGTATGTTAAGCCCTTAATCAATTCTGTAGTCTGAGAACTTTTTAGGAGTAATAAAGTGAAACTGAAGATTTCTAACATTGTGAAATTAAGTTTTGATAAGTGAACATAGACTGGTCACAGGCTAACAGTATATTCATATAAATGGTAAAATGCTGCATTATTGTGTTTACACAAGGGAATTAACCTAGGTAAATGGGTTTTAGTGCCTATTCTAGATAATTACAATCTTAATAGTTTGACCCCTTAGGAGTTGAGCTTTATTCAGATGATTGCTGTAGTTGTTTTCTAATACTGGGATTTTTCACAGACCATAAGAATCTATAGTCCCACCTGGGGCAAGAATGTAATTGAATTCTATTTTGACTTCACTTACGCTTTTGCTGTTAAAATGATTCTCTTATCACCCTTTTTGGCCACAGCCCTTGGCAAAACAAATCAAAATAGCAGTGACAGATTTTGAAAAATTACCGTTGCTTAAGATTTGAACAAGCATGTTGGCATAAATTACAAATAATGGACCAGTTTATTTATAGAGTGCCATGAAATGAAAATGCTGTTCTTTTTTTATGATAAAATTAAAAGACAATTCAAAAGAGTTAAAAACTCTCTAAGGTACATACTTTCCCATTCTTTTGGTTTTCTCACTGATGTATTTGCTTAATTGGTATTTACTTAGTATCCAAGACATATTAAGCATAGTGGATAAACATACTGTTTTTCACTTGATAGTTATGTGCTTTTAATGAAAAAGTCATTTTGATTGTACATTTTATGAAGGGAAAAAAGGGCTGAAATGGAGTGTACATAGGTGGGACAGTACTTTTGAAGGTAGTCAGGAAGGCCGGCCTTAGGAATGATACTGAAACTCATGGCTGAGGAGGTGACTTTTATAATGTGTGTAGAAGTCCGTGTTGGGGACACTCATGAATTAAGGACTAGCGACCAATGTGGTGCTGTGCAATGGGTGTGGGACCGTGAGGTAGGCCTGGAGGAAGTATTAGAGCCAAATCAAACCTAATTCTAAGAGCTATGAGAACCCACATAGGAGCAACAGTTTCAGATTTTTGTGTACAAAATGAAATTGAGTTAGAAAATAATAGAATTCATCCCCAATATAAGCCCATATACATGGAGTAGTATTTAATTTTGTGCAGTATAACAGCTATGATGTTGGCTAAATGAATCTCTATGAATATGGAACATCAGAGTAATTCTTGTTACTCAGTGATTTAGATACCCTCGTATGTAATTAATGTTTTTTTTTGTATATGTGTTTATATAGATATATAGTTAGTGTCTACATGAAACAACATAATGTGAGAATCAAATACCAACATTACATGTTTATTTTTTACATGTTTATTTCCACAGGTTGTTGGCTCTTTCACCCATCCTGGCATATGTGTATTTATAAAAGAATGTTTGAAAGTGAAAATAAAATCCTGACCAAAGAAGGTGTAATCCATTTTTTGGAGCTGTATGAAGTAAAGATTCTTCCATTTTCATCAGAGTTTTCTGAGGTAAGGTAAAGGAGGTCACCTTTCCCTTGCTCCCTTTGTCAAAAGATGAGCTGTAAAGGCATTTGTTGTCATGTATGTGACTTTTAAAAGGACAGAGTAGGACTGTGTAATAGCAAATGATGCTATTGATTTGCATACAACAGTCCTCCTCAACCTTAGGTGTCATGTCTGGAAAAGCTAGCTGTAATCTAGTCTGCCAACAAGTTGCCTGTGTGTTGATAAAATTTGGTCAAAAACTGGTATGAAACTCATTTGGAAACCTGCTCATGATGCTGTTTCCACAATTTTAAATTACTAAGTTTGAATCACTTTTTGTAGTGATGAATAATTGTTATCTACTGTATTAAGTAAAGATTACTTTTGAGCTGTATATATTAGCATCTACCTTGGTTTTTCAGAAATGGCACAAAACAGACTTGAGAATTATAATTGATTTTCAAGTTTTATGTAATAGTAGCAAATTAATCACATGATCACTTACTCAAGTATAGTCATTTCCCTTTCATATAAGGGTAACCTAAGTAGATTGTTGTCTGACACTATCCTGTAGTGTTTTGTTATATATTCTTTTTACTACAGTCTCCTATCCTTCCTATAATTTTCCCTTTTTGGCTAATGTCTAGTAATATTTTTGAAGATAGAATACTCTCCCCAATTGTTTTCCAGGCATAGGGGCTTAAATTTTCTCTTAACTATCTTTTTAAATTTTTTTCCTCTTCTGTAATTTCCTTTATTTTTTACCATGTGTTCATTTTGGATTCCTTTTTCCCCCACCCTATCTGAACTCTCTTCTTAGTACCCATAAGTGTTTCTCAGGTGGGAAAATTATGGTTGTTCTATGTTCTCTCTATCAATGAATTAACCTTTCAGTGTAAGAGATCAGCTTTACTTACAACAGCTCTTCTGTAGTCCTGTGTTGGATGTGCAATTATGGCAAGTTGATTTTCCAAAATTGCAGATACAACTTAACATCGATTACATTTTTTTGTTTTTTAGTTTATTATTGGACCTTTAATGGATGCACTTTCAGAAAGCTCTCTGTATAGCAGGTAAACAAGTGTTATGTTGTTTAGTAGATATATGCATTTAACATGTCTATGAAATGTGATCAGATTATTTAATGTTTAGTAGACATAAGCTTTTCTTATTATATATTTTTCTTATGTAGATTGTTATTCTTTTTGCCTTTCTTCTATTCATTATGTCAGATGTTCCTTTTATTTTTCTTGTTGTCTCCTATCTTGAGTCCTTTCATTTTTAGGTTCATGGAGAGTATCTGTATCTTATATAGTTTTCTTTCCCAGCATCTATTTCTAGTGTCTCTGCCCTCTTGAAAATCATAGCAACTTTGCTAATCAACACTTTAAATGTTAGTTTTGACTGATAGATGTCTGAACATTATAAAGAATTTCCATTAAGTTTTATTTACATTCTCCACATTTGCATCTTTACAGTCTGAAGAGACAGCCTTTTCTGTCTGTGTACACATCTGTTTCTCACTTCTGTTAACTGCACTGACTTACTTATCTTTTTCAGTGTTTGTTCTCTGTCCATTTATTCATATTAAAAACCATGAATTCATATGACACATCCATTTCCAATATGATACCACAGTGTCTGCCATTATCCAGAATATATAACTTATTTCTCACTTTTACCCTTTGAAAAGGTTTGAAAAGGTTTGAATTTGTCAGCCTCACTCTTGAAGTTGATCTTCAAAAATCATTCTCTTTCTGTTATTAATTGAAATTATACTTACAGGTCTTTTTTTTTTTTTTTTTTTTTTTTTTTGCTTGGCATAACTCTAAATTGAAAAGCAACCTCCCATCACCAATTAAGCTTTTTTTTTTTTTACTTACTTTGTACTAAGTTATACTAATACTTAGTTCTGACTAATAAATATCAAAGAACATGGTATTGCTTTATTTGTCACTTACTTTTAGTTTTTATAACTCATTACTATTGAATAGTTTTCTGAAGTGATTGGACTGCCAGAGAGCAGTTGAATCTATTAGGTGTGTCCCAAAAAGCTGACATATTTTTATGAAATACCTTCAGTTTCCCTGCACTCTCATGTGTTCAATTAATAAATAATGATCCTGGTAGAAGCATGCAGCAGAAAAATAAATGATAGTAGATTTAACAAGTAAATGCTCTTGCAGAGTAATTATTACTAACATCTTTCTTTCTATGAATGTTAATTCCTTTATTTAATACCTAAAGATGAGGTTATATGTTGGAAACAATGTAACTTAGAGATGATCATTTTAGATTTAAAAAGAAATGATAATACTTAGAAGACTTATCTACATAAATGTAAGGGAAAGTATAAAAAAGCAATCCAGGGCCCTCCCTTGTGGTGCAGCGGGTTAAAGCACAGCACTAAAAAGCTTAAGCCACTTCAGCATGAGTTAGATTTCCTTCTGCCCAGGAGGAGATCCACATGGCGAGGCAGACCTCTCCTTACCCGCCGGCTGCTCCCCTCAGCAGTGTACTTGGTCGATCGGCCTGTTCTGCTCCCTGCTCTGTCTCTGGTGAATCCTCTCACCCTCCGCATCTCTGGCCTGTACCCCAGTTCTATATGAATAAATAAATAAATCTTTTTTTTTTTTTTTTTAAAGCAATCCATTCCTGCTTAGTGTAGTATATTCTGTTTTCCTAGGAGGTCCTTATTTTTTTGTAGCCATTAGAATCCTCAGTATTTATTTTATTTTGAAAATAAAATGCAGGTTCAGGAAAAGAAAATAGTCTGATTGTTTTATTATTGGAAAATTGTTTTTAAATCACAGTCCACCAAGTTTGAGTGCACATATTTTAAATGTTAGTTTTTCCCCCCTCTTTGTCTACAGGTTCCCAGGACAGCTGATAGGAAGTGGTTCTCCATTGGGGTCAAAATTACAGAAGTTTTTAGCCACTTATATTTCTCTTCTTCCAGAAGAAATAAAGAGTATGTATCAATAGAGAATTTTTAAAAAATTTACTAGTGAGTAATTTTTTAATATCTTGGTTATAAGCACCAGTCTATTACTGTTATTATAGTCAATATTAAAAAAAAATAATTAATTTTTCCAGAATATTCATATTTTGTGGGAATCTCACAGCTGTTGATTGTAATTGACTTTTGTATATTTAACATTACCAGTATTGGCACAAATAACATGGTAGTGAGTTTAGCATCTTTGCTGAATTCTGCTGTTTACTAACCTCTATTCAATTTCTAACCTCTAGTTTGCAAAAATTAGTAAAATAAGTTCAAGAGACAGATAAATTGGGTTTAGAATTAAGTCAGAAACAGACTATGCATTATGGCAAAGTTGGCCCTTCACAGATAATGACACAAAACCAGTACTGTTTTTTTTTTTTTTTTCTGAGCAGTAGGAGGAGTTACTCTTCTTTCTGACTTTCATTTTGGTTTTGTCACTTACAAAAATTACTATGGGTTTGAACTATAAGTTTTTTCTTTTGTCTTTAATCTGTAAATAGGGAAAGACAATAACCTATGGCCACTTATCCATTTTAAAGTCAGGAAAGAAAAGGGAAAGATGGTCTGTATCACAGCTTTAGATATATAGATCTTTTTTAAATTACTTTAAAAGTTAGAAACTAAACTGTCAGAGCAGTTCTTTGGTTTTCTAGACTTCAGAATTTAAGCATTATGGGATTAATTTGCTGTCCATGTTGACTTGTCGTTCATGAGTACTCTGTAAGTGAGAGGATAAATGGTTATTGTTCCCTAGTTTTGAGTGCCTGGTGTTTGTAGTCCAGGACCAGGGAACTAGTAGATACTTGAAATTGTGTTGAGTGAATGTGAAAGAGAATTTAGCTGTTGCCATCCTTCTTGTGTCATGAGTGAGGTATTAGGCAAAAGGCAGGGAGCTTAATTAGCCCAACAGAAAAGAAGACAAGTAAAATGTTCACTTACAGTTTTCTTTTTGTTAATTAATTTAGTATTAATTCAATTTCCATTGACTCTCTTAAGTGTCTTTATGTTAGATATTTTTGAAGGTATAAAGTATATGTATTATCCCGTCAGGTGCTTCAAGAAATCTCTTAGAAGTCATTCTACAGTGTTGATCTGAGAGTGCATCAGACATTTTCACTGAGAAATACCGTTAGCAGAGAAGACAGAATAGGGCAACTTTCCTTTGTATCTCAAATAGAAAAATATTATGATTAGAATCAGGTTAGGTAAGAAATACCCTGTGAGGAGCTAGCATTAACATCTTCAACAGAAGTCTGTATAGCTTCTAACAGTTAAGAATTTATGTGTATCTTAACTTTTTAAAAAAATTCACCCTCAGAGTCTCTCTTCTCCCTAGCTACAGTCACTAATATTTCTGTCTCTATAGATTTGCTTGTTCTAGACATATAAATGAAACCATATGTTAAGTATCCTTTTGTGTCGGTCTTGTTTTGTTTGACATAATGTTTTAAGATTCATCTAGGTTTTAATATATATCAGTATTTCATTTTTTCTTGACTGAAAAATTTTCCATTGTGTAAATATTTCATAATCATCAGCAGATAGCCATTTGATTTGTTTCCAACTTTGACTGGAATAATTAATGCTCTTGTGAGTATTAATATACAATACCTTAGGTGAACATATGCTTTCAGTTTCTCTTGAGTGCATAATTAGGAGTAGAATTGTGGGGTTTATGTTGAACTTTTACCAAGTTGTTTCCACACTGGCTGCATCACTTTATATTTCCACTAGCAAAGGGCAGAGCTCTGATTCCTTGATACCTTTGCCAGGTGCTTATAGCCCTTTTGACTATAGCCATTCTAGTGGGTGTGAAGTTATATTTCATTATGGTTTCTGATTTGTATTTCCCCACCTAATGGCTGATGATGTTGATTATCTTTTTATATGTGTATTGACCACAATGGTATTTAATTTTTTTTTTCTTTCAGGTAATTTCCTATTAAAGTTTATTCAGAAGATGACAAGTAGACATTGGTGTGCTGTTCCCATTTTGTTTATATCTAAGGCTTTGGCAAATGTCCCAAGATGTAAAGCCCTGAGTCTAGAAGGACTTCTTGCTATCAGGTAATTTATTATGTGTGTATTCACATGAAGTTATTTGCTATCATTTTCTAGTAAATTTTGTTTTCCCCTCTGCTTTAATTTACAGTGAATGTTAGTATTGGCATTGGTGCTTTTGAGCTTTTAATTTTATATAGGAAAAAAGTAAATTAAAAATGTATTACTCAAATAGCTGTACTCACAGTCTCCTATGAATTTTTTATTTAAATTTGTGCCACAATAAATACTATTATATTGTGACCACTTTAAATAAGGCCACTGGCTTTCTTCATTCCACTGATATGAAGAAAATTAGAGATATCAAACAATAGCATTTAATATGAAATATTTCAAAAAGTAAAATTTTTACTATAAAATTATGTTCATTCATACTTTATTTTTGAGATTTGTTTCATATTTAAACTGAGCCTAATATTATTAGAGGCTTTAATGGAAAATACTAACTTTGAAGTTCTGACAGTGACTTTCCACATTAGAAGTGATAGATCATGTATATCCATTTAACCAATATTAACAGGTTGTCAGAATTGTCTCTAGGACACAGAAATGCACGTTTTGTTTTTTGATGCAGGGATATTCTTCAGTGCACTATGACCACACATCAAGTTCTACTGCGTGGGGCAGCTCAGTGCTTCCTTCTTCAGACAGCTATGAATTTGGTAGATGTTGTAAGTTTTTATTTTTTCCCATGATGCATTTACTCATGATACAAGTGATAAGTCTGTTTTAGTTAACATAGCATATGGTGGTGCTGTCATTAGAAACTAGCCCTTGTTATAAGTTTGGCCCTCGGTCTGGGAAGTTAGATTTTGGGAAAGTTCCTACTGTCCTAAGTGGTGAGAGTGATTAACTGGGCCTGAAGTTTTTTTTTTTTTGTTTTTAAGGAAAATGTGGTATTAGTGAATACCTGTATTCCTTCTGAGATTCTGGAATTTTGAGTCTTGCTATGCAGAGGGTGTTTGTGTGACCAGCTCATACAAGTCTCTGGAGAGTTTCTCTCCTGCACAATATTTCATATTGTTGTTATAGTTCTTTGTTGGGGGAATGAAGCACATCTGCATGACCGCTCTGGAAATTTTTGCTAGGTTTCCTCTGTACTCTTTTAGCATATCTGCCAGTGAATTGCCTTTTAAGGTATATCTTTATTTGTGTGTGTGTGTGTTTTTAAAGATTTATTTATTTGTGCGTTCAGAACTAGGCTACAGGCCAGAGGTGCAGGGGTGGTGAGAGGACTCACCAGAGACAGAGTGAGGAGCAGAACAGGCAGATAGTTGAAGCACACTGCTGAGGGGAGCAGCGGGCAGGTCAGGAGAGGTCTGCTGTGCCATGTGGTTGTTTAAATAAAACTTTATAAAACAGGCTGTGAGAAGTTTTGCTGACTTCTGGCCTAAAAAAGGCATCTTAATTCAAGAAGTACAGCCTTATAGAATGGAAAGATGTAGGTGGTTTTCTTAAGCAGAGGCTCATTTTTATGGCTTTGAAAAGTAACAATTAGTTTTTGATTTAAGTAAGAATACATGTTTATAGAATTTTTTAAAAATCTCTCTGCTTTTAGGAATGACCATCTTATCTCTAAGATGATAACTTTGATTTTTTTTTTTTAAAGATTTATTTATTTATTCATACAGAACTGGGGTACAGGCCAGAGGCTCAGGGACGGTGAGAGGCTTCACCAGAGACAGAGTGGGGAGCAGAACAGGCAGATTGACGAAGTACACTGCTGAGGGGAGCAGCAGGCTGGTCAGGAGAGGTCTGGCTCGCCATGTGGTCTCCTCCGGGGCAGGCGGCAGGCGGGAATCGAACTCATGCAGAAGTGGCTTCAGATTCTCAGTGCTGTGCTTTAACCCGCTGCGCCACCAGGGAGGGCCGATAACTTTGATTTTAAGGAAAATGGATTTATAAGATACTCTTTCATCATATATACTGTTATTTTTTATTTGTAATCAGCAGCTTCATATTAAAAGTTGAAGACTTTTTTTTCTTAAAAATAGCTTTATTTTGGGGTGGGGGGAGTGCACGGCACTATGGTGATGGCATACAGGTGAATTGATGGTGGGAATTCCATGGGCATTATAACTATGAGATGGAAAAAGGCAAAATAAACTATTACAGTAATAAAAAAAAACAGCTTTCTTTTACTTTAGCAAATAATAATCTAGTTCAAATAGTATACTATGTTGCTTTTGCAGTCATTTCATTCAATTTAAAACTTAAAAATAAATTTAAACATCTATCCTGTCTCCAGGAGAAAGTATCCTTTTCTGATGTCTCAACTTTTCTCATGTCTCTGAGACAAGAGGAGTCCTTAGCACGTGGAACTTCATTGTGGACAGAGGTGAGAATGAAATTAATGTAATGGAATAATGTTTGAAACTTTATGAAAAGTTGTCTATAACTTAAATTCATTACAAGTCATGTATGTAAAATGTAATAATTGCTTTGCTATCAGCAGAGTTTTGTTCATACATCTGTATGACTTGGGGTGCATGTATACGTGCTTCTCTTACCCTCCATCGTTACTCCCATGCTCCTGTCCTTCCCCCTATCCTGTTCCCCATCCCCTCCACACCTTCTAGATAACAGTCTATTTTTCACTAAGTCTAAGAATTATTTTTACTGTGTTTTTCCAGTATGCCTTTTTGGTTATTTGTATTCCACAAATAAATGAATCCATCTAGTATCCATCTTTCCTTCCCGACTTACTTTATGTGGTACACTCATCTCAAAATTCCTCTTTTTTATCCTAAGAAGCACCGTTTCACTTTTTTTCTAATAACTGCTGGACATGTTCCATTGAGTATATATTCCACAATTTTTTTTTTATTCAACTGCTAACATTCTTGTGGCATAGTAGGAGATAAGAAAATTTTTGCAAAATAGAACTAAGTTCTAGATAAAATATACTAAAAATAATGGTGATGCTAGTCTCAAAGAGAGTAACAGAAACCTCGTCTTTCTCTCTTTTCTGTCAGTTAATGAAACTTTCATCTACCTGGTTGTCCCAATCTGACATTTTGGCAATTTGTATTTCTTCCAACTTTATGCCTCTCATTTATCAACCCCAATTTCTGCCTTTTCCCTGCCATTGCTTTCGTAGAAGTCCTCTGTTAGTGCTGCTTCCCCTGTGATGCCTTCTTTCCTTTTGACACCAGTCTCTTTGTCTTGCTGACACTGTCCCATCCACGAAGTAGGGCTTTCAAGTTCAGTTATGATCTGAAGGTGCCACTCTACTCTGTGGGGCATTTGTGATTTGCTTCTTTTTCTTTTTTTTTTTTGTTTTGTTTTGTTTTCAACAGTAAGACTCATGCTCTAATTTTAGCTCTTACCCTTAGATACTTGGTTGAATTCTTATCTGTGTCTTCTGTTATATAGCTTTTTTGAGAACAAGAACTGTGTGTGTGTGTGTGTGTGTTTCTCCAGAGTCTAAGAACATCACTGAGGCTCAGGATATGATTATTTCTTTTAGAAGACAATTCTGGCAACACACACACATGCACACACACAAAGAAGCAAGAGGAAGCAGCTTGGTCTGTCTTAAAATAATTGAGGCATAAAATAAATAAAGGCTTAGAGTACATTAGTGACAGAGGAAATGGGGAAAGGGCAATTTGAGGTCTTTAAAAATTAGAATACTCCTTTATTTTTTCAAAGTTCTAGTGCATCTAATTTAGTATCTGAAAAACATGGAACCATATTAAGAAAGTGAAAATCTACTATGATGCCTACCATCAAATTAATCCTGTATACTTTGATTTAGTTCTCAACTTTTTGGATATATATACTCTCTCTCATTCCTACTATATTTATATACTAAAAATGATCTATTAACACATTTCTGAACAAAATAAAGATTATACTATTTTAATTTTCTTTTATCTTCACTTTTGGCATGTTGCTAAGTAATTCTCCAATATGTAATATTTAAAAAGTCATGATTAAAAATTTTAGAATTTATTAAATCATTTTCTTTTATTGGATTTTTTTATTTCGTGTATTTTTATCTAGAAGTGTTTCAGCATATACTGCGGTAAAATGGATTTTGAGAACCTAAAATATTGGTCCTTATCACATCTAGAAATATTAAATTACTTGATTTCAAATCACTATTGTTTAAATTTATTCAGATGTACATTAAACATTATTTTCATTTGTTGTTTGAAAAGCTTATTCATTTCACTGGATATGTGGCATTTATAAATTGGTTAATACATCTGGATTTTATTTTACTATATAGTATGGTATAGTATGTGAAGTGTAAGTGAGAAATATATCTACAGATATTTCAAATTATGTTTAGACCAGATCAGATGTAAGTACCTACTATTACTTGGTTTGTTAGTAGTCTTTTTCCTTTGGTTTGATGAGCCAGAAAAGGCAAACCACTGATTTTTTTATAGTCTTTATAATTTTATCTTTTCCAGAGTGTTATTTAGTTACAATCATGTATCTTGAGGCCTTTTCAAGTTAGCTTCTTTCGCTAAATAATAATGTCTTTTTATGGCTTGATAGCTTTTTTGTTTTTATCACTGAATAATATTCATTATACTGGTATACCACCCTTTATTTATGCATTTAATTACAAAGGTACATTTTAGCTGCTTTTAAGTTTGGCAATAATAAATAAAGCTGCTATAAACATTCATGTACAGGTGATACAGCTTTTTAGCTCACTTGACTAAATACCACCGAGCACAATTGCTGGATTGTGTAGTAAGAGTGAGAAACTGCCAAATTCTGTGCACTATGAAGACTATAAAAAGATCAGTGGTTTGCCTTTTCTGGCTCATCAAACCAAAGGAAAAAGACTACTAAAAAAAAACCAAGTAATAGTAGGTACTTACATCTGATCTGGTCTAAACATAATTTGAAATATCTGTAGATATATTTCTCACTTACACTTCACATACTATACCATACTATATAGTAAAATAAAATCCAGATGTATTAACCAATTTATAAATGCTACATATCCAGTGAAATGAATAAGCTTATTCCCACCAGCAGTAAACGAGAGTTTCTGAGCCCCACATACTCATCAGCTTTTGGTAGTGTCTGCATTTTAGAATTTAGTATTCTATTAGGTATGTAGTGCTACCTCATGTTTTAGTTTGCAGTTTTCTAGTGGAATGACTTTTATATGCTATTTGCTACCTGTATATCTTCTCTGTTGAGGCAGTTTTTTTTTTTGGCCATTTTTTTAATTGGGTGATTGTTTTCTTAGTTATAAGAGTTGTTTGTATGTTTTGGATATCAGTCCTTTATCAGATGTGTGTTGTATAAATATTTTCTCCATCTGTGGCTTCTCATTCTTTTGATAGTGTCCAAATGGATTCTTGAGATGTGTTTTAATGGAAAATCAGGAGAATTTGGTTCCTAGAGACTGCTAACTAGGTGCTATTTTAAACCATAAGGCTGACAAGAACTCTTTGGCAGACAAAGATCCAACATTTCTGTAACAGACTTGATAAAAAAAAAGTCAGATATGAATTTTAATTTACTTGTTAATAATTTTGTTATAATAGGAACATTCTTGTGGAAATATAAGACTTGGAAAACCTCACGTATTTTCTATCAAAATTGGAAAACTTTAGTTTGACTAGTACAAAAAGAAATATATATAGTTGAAAATAATATATATAATTGGCAAGATAAATACTTGCCAATAACCTCACTCTTAGATTGTATTTTAAGATTGTCCTGCTTGATAAAGATCTACATGGAATAATTTCCTTTATTATTTAACTGCCATTTATAGGTTCCTGTGGGATGTTAGTTTTCATATTGACTGATTCATTTATTCATCATTTGGTTATGTGTGATTTTTTAATGTATTTTTAATTGTTGCTTCTTAGACTCATAATTATATTTAAATTCATATATTGATTTTACACATTAAGAGATATAAACAATTGAGAACATAATTAAATTTCTGAGCAATTCATAATTATGTGAGATCAAAGGTTCTGTGAAATCTGTGACTCAGTTTTGCAAATATTTTTTTAAAAGATTTATTCATACAGAATGGGGGTATAGGCCAGAGGTGCAAGGACAGTGAGAGACTTCACCAGAGACAGAGTGGGGAACAGAACAGGCAGACTGACGAAGTACACTGCTGAGGGGAGCAGCGGGACGGTCAGGAGAGGTCTGCCACACGATGTGGGTCACCTCCGGGGCTTGGGATTGAACCCCCACTGCAGTGGCTTTTGCCAGCTTTCAGTGCTGCATCCTATCCCATTGTACCACCAGGGAGGGCCTTTGCAAATCTTTTAAAAGATGTAATAGAGAAAAATTGGGATAGTATTTCTCTTTTAAATTATGATGTTTAAAAATACACATATGATGAGAGCAATAAATTTGTGAGCACTTTAAGAAATTATAACTTATATTTGAGATTCTACATTCTCTTAAGAATAAGCATCCTTATTTTAGTGTGTGAAGCTAGAATGAACTTTAAAGTTGTAATTTGTTTTAATATTGACATAATTTTTTTTGCAGAAATGTTATTTTATATTAGAAATTCTTGCTTCTTAATGAAGATTTAAATTGAGAGAGATTAGGAAACACACATGTGTAGATGTATATGTATTACATATATACATAGGCATTTTTCTTGTCTGCATTGACTGGGGAATTTAACATGACAATAAATGACTGAACAGTCATGTAAATTCAATTTATTGTGGAAGAAAGAAAATTGGTTTTGGGAAATTAGAAACCCTTTGTTCAGTTAGGCTTTTAAAATAAAGTAATAACTATTTTCTTTTCTAGCTCTGTGATTGGTTACGTGTTAATGAAAACTGTTTTATACGATCCTCAACTTGTAACTCCACTGGACTTCATGAGACATCCTCTTTAAATGCTTATGTAAAGAACTTAGTTCAAGAATATATTAAGTCACCTGCTTGGGAAAGTAAGTGATATCATTTTAATGGATTGATCTAAACAAAATATTTTTGAAGACCTTTTTTTTGAAGTACTGTTTTTGTTTTTGTTTTTTTTTTTTTAGATCTAGGTATCTAGGTATATGTATATTCAAATGTACACCAATTTATTGATATTAAACTGGTATTTCAGCCAAATATGTGAATAACAATGTAAAAATACTGTTTCCTAATTGTATTCTATCTATTCTAGCACTTGAGATTTTAAGCTACTTTGTATGTTTTAAGAAACTAATAAGTTGCTAGCATAAGAATTTGGATACAAATTAATGTATTCCTGAAAATTTTTGTGGGCTACATAATTCATACATGCTTTTGAAAATTCTAGTAAATATTTATAAAGTCAGTTTGTCTTCTGTTTGTTTTTCAAGCACCACATTTGATGTGATCTGTTTATGAAAAAAAAAGTTTTAGAGAAAAATTGTGTTTGAAAATGTTGTTTTGATAGTTTTTTCCTTTTCATTTGATACCTTGCAAAGATCAGTTGTGCAGCTTCTTTGCAAAAATGTGTAAGACTGCGTGAGGGAAGAACTATTAGCAGATTCATTAATTAGGATTCTTTTTACATTTGTAATGCTTCTTCATTAAAGTCATTAAGTGATAATGTGGGTAAATTGCATCTTTGAATTTAATGTATCCTAAATTTCCTCACTTTGTCTCAGACCACGTGATTTTCATCTACTGATTTCTCTCATCTGATCATGGAATAGTTCTTAAATGATTTGATAATTATCCATTCAAAATATATGGGTTTGTTCATCCTTCTTAGAGCTCTTTTCTGTGTTTTCACTCTCTATTGTTTCTGTGATGTTACTTTGAAGAGTCTGTTATTAGCCCTATAAAAGTAAATATGTTTTAGTCCCTGTAAATGATTAAATTCCTTAAAATACCTAGAGAGCTTGTGTTATAATTTAGAATATATAACAGCATTAAATATGATTAAATATTTAAAATTTGGTGAAATAAGATTGTTAGAGCTTTTTTAACATTTATAAGACTTAAAATATTACTGTTTTTATATAATATGCTATTTTAAGTTTTTAAAATTCAGTGCAAAGGTGATACATTTGTGTGCATTTTTAATATTTTTGTTTGACTTAATGCCAGTGGCATTAAAAATTACTTTGTGAAATTTTAGTTTAATCAATTACTGGGCAGTTTATAGAATAAATTAATAAATTTGAAAGCAAACATTACTTAGCTTGAGTTTTTAAACATAAAATATATATAGTAGTCACTTTGGTTTCTATATACTCCTCAGCCAGAACATTGTCAGAGTCTACATTCAGGCTTCCCTGGTGGCCTAGGGGTTAAGTCTCAGTGCTGTTACTACTGTGACCTGAGATTGATCCCCAATGGGGAGCTAACCCATATATGGCACAGACCTCTCCTGTTTCACCTGCTGCTCCCTTTAGCAGTATATTTCAGTAAATCGGCCTATGTGCCCACCATTCTGTCTCCGGTGAATCCTCTTACACCTTACACCTATACCCCAGTTCTATACAAATTTAAAAAAGTCTACATCCAAAATAGCTTTTTCTTTGATATATAGTATATAATATATATATAATATATTATAATATAATATATAATATATATAATATATAATAATGCTATATATATATAGCATTATTACTCAGAAAAAAATATTTTTTAGGTACCAGATATTGGAGTTGCAGAGATAAAAAATATATTACCTTCCTTACAGAGAACATACTCAAGCAAAGAAATTGATCAGTAAGCAGATAACCCTGGTGTGCTACCTTGAAAGACTTAAGCACTGGGGTGAGGAGGAAAACCTATGTGAGCTACACCTATCTAGAACAGGTAGAGCTGTTGGGGAGTGGGAAATCATCAGTTGGAGTGACACCTTTTGAGTGAATAGAAAATAAGGTGAAAAATTCAAAAGAATACCACACAGACTAGGATGAATTTCCATCCAGGAAATTGAAAGTAAATGGCATCCATCTGTACATGGCATGGAGCCAGGCTAGAATGGTAAGAAATATGAGGGATGAGCTTGTAGTCCATATCATATGTGTGATATATAAAACAACAAACATTCTGAAAGTGTTAAAGAGCTTTCAGAGCAGAATTTCTTCTGAATTAGAGAAAGTGGAAACCAATAATGACTTGTCAGAGTTTGGAATTACTAAGACCACCAGAAAGTGAAATATATTTGAAGAAATTTATACTTAAATGAGGCAGTACTTGAGGAAGGATATTTTGTAGGAGATTTTATGATAAACATGTTGTATTTTTTAAAAAATGTAACCAAAACATCTGAAGATAGGGAATAACCTCAAAGTGTAGTATATTGTACCTATACAGCAAATCTTAAAAACAGCTTTATTGAGACATGATTGGCATATGTTATATTGCACATATTTAAACTGTGCTATGGAATGGTTATTTGGGCTGTCTACTTAATAAACCATCAACATAAAATAATGGACATATATCTATCACCCTGCAAAATGTTTTCATTCCTTTTTTTGTAATATGTCTTCCTTCTTCATCTGTATGTAAAACCTGATATGATTTCTGGCACTGTAGTTTGCATTTTCTAAAATTTCACTAAGTTTTCAGAATCCATGGTAGCAAAGTTTAGTGCTTTAGGGTTAAAATTGCATTAAGATGATTGGTAGTGCTTTGTTTCTTAAGAACCAATGTTGCCTATACTTGTGAGAAAAGGGAGAGAAAAGGGAGCATAAGTAAGGAATTCTATGCTAGTGGGATCACAGACAGTAGTTGTCAGAGCAGCAGCATTCCAGCATTATCTGGAAACTTTTTAGAAATGAAAATTCTTGTGCTTTCTTTCAAACCTATTTGTCAGAAACTCTGAGTGTGGGCCTCACCTATTTTTAAACAAGCCCTGTAGGTGACTCCAACACATGTTGGAGTTTGGGACCCTTTCCTCTGTAGCATGGATAGTTGGGGAGCAACCTACAAAAACCTACCAAAACTTCTTGCACAAGTGTGTTCTTCACTGGAAGAGTAAGGCCTCCTTTTGTCATTGGCTTGTTACCGTGGCATCCCTTGACATCGGAAATCATTAAAAAACTAACTTTCTGATTTATAACCTTTTCCATATCTAAGGTGAAAGTATGCTTCGAACTTCAAAACAAATCTGTGCTTCTAGAACTCTGCTTTTTGTGCTTTACTGGAGGCAAACGAGAATTACTTGGGTAGGCACTTTGAAGGCCCCCTACCATGTGTACAATCCATATGAAGGTGTGTAGTATTTATAGCCAAAGGCTTCCAGCTAACTTGCTATAAGATGGAGAAGATGCTAAAGTAACACTGTGATTGGAAACATTACATACTCAGTACCCCTACCAGAAGAGTCAGATAACTTTAGCCATGCTCTTCCTTTACTTTTGTCCCTTTTCCATAGCCTCAGACTCAGCCTAGTTATTGACTTTATGTTACCCACCCCCCCACCCCAGACACAGGTATACACTCTCGTATACATTCTCCTAGCACCACTTACAGCACTCATAACACTGATCACTATACAAGACTTTGTATATTCTTTGTGGGTGCTCTTTGGTACACTGTAAATCCCATGGACACAGGAAGCATTGGGCCTACAGTGCCTGGGTCTGTGCATGGATGTAGGAGGTATGCCACAATTTGCTTGTTTCATATAAATCGTGCACACTGAGCCTTTTGTATTGTGTTCCACCTCTGCTGTATTTCTCTAATAACTTAATATTGGTAAAGGTAATCATTTGGCTCTTAACTTTGCATGGTTATATTAATCTTTTACAAATCTTATCTGTTATTTAAGTAGGAGAAAACTGCCTTATGCCTGATTGGTTTGAAGCCAAGCTTGTTGCTATGATGGTCTTACTGGCTGTTGATGTGGAAGGAATGAAGAATCAATATAGGTAAGTGTTTCTAAACTTGAAACCAAAGATTTTTTTTTAAGCCTAAATAGATAGATGGTACATATTCAGACTTTTCAATGACTGATATGGAGTTAATAACAATGTATTAAAGAAGGGTGCTAGACTATATGCATTCTACTTAGAAATGTTTAAAATTAGCAATAAATTCATAGTGTTAAAGTCTTATTAGTCCTTTTTCATAAGTTAAATTGTTAAGCTAGAGAAAGTTAGAAAAACTACACATTAGTCACTGGTTTATATAAAAATAATATAAGAATGATTTCTAAGATCCTATTCCATTAGATTAAGTAGAAAAATTTACTGGGTTTGACTGCTTTTCAAAACATGTAATTAAAAATAATGTAATCAAGATAAAATAATCTGGTATTTTGAGAATGTGAGTAGGTCAATTCTCATTAGATCATAACTGTAGTAGAAAATCAGCTTCATTAGGTAGTATATTTGCATGATATGAAGTTAATTTTATTAACATCAAATCTCTAAACAGTTTTAGTGCTAAAATTGGTGATCACAATCTTTAATAAATCTTTGCTTTTAAAATATTTTTTCGTTAACATGTCCATTTTCTTGACATGTATTTGTTTGTATTTTTTCTTCTGAATTATGAAACAAGTGTCTTAACATTTTTATTTCAGGTAAATTTCATATGGGGTTTCTTTCATACTTATGTCTAGAGTTGAGTCCAAAATGTCGTTCCCTGTGTTTTCCTCTCTAGTGGATTGATAAACTCACTGAGAAAGCACAAACTGAAAGGGCAGTAAGGAGCTTGGTGAGGAAGGTCAGTTCCAAAGAGTGTTAGGTCTTTCAATCTTCCAAAGAGTCATTCTTTCTATTGATAACTGAATCCATTAGCTAATCAGTTCAACAAATTGTACATGGGAAGTAATTTCTTCATGTTTTTGAAATGCTTGATTTGGGCATGTCTTTTAATATCTAGTGAAAGGAGGAGAACACAGAATGCATTGAGTATATTCTTAGATCCTCTTCTGGATGCCCTTATGAAGTTTGGTACAAATGCCTACATGCCCTTGCTGAAAACTGACAGATGCCTCCAGTTGCTGTTGAAGTTATTGCACACTTGCTTGTTGAAGGGCTCCAGTACCCAAGATGGTGAGGATAAATAGTTTCTGTTTGTATCTTGCTTGGTATAAAATTGATATTTAGAATAAGAGGAAACCACTGACCTCTATAAATCATGCATTCATCAAATACTTATACTATCATCTGAAGTTATTGGGGATACAGCAGTGAAGACTTAAACTCCTGTCCTCATAAGCCTACCAATTTAGTGCTTACATTCTTTGGTTATTATTGATTTTTTAATGTTTTTTATTTTATTTACATATATATTACATCATCCTTTATTTCTGTACATTGTGTTCTCCTCTCAGGTGTAGTCCCTGTGGAATTCCCACCACTAGTTCACCCAGGTGCCATCACCATAGTCTCGTGTGTGTTCTTCCCACCCTAGTTTTTATCCTACTCTACTCTCCTTCCCTGTAGAATGTCTCTGGTTTATAATTGTTTGTTGATTTTAGTTTCACTTTACTACAATTACTTTATTTTTTTTTTCTTTTCCTGCTCCCTTACATTCCTGCTGTGATAAAACCATCTTGTATTTTTCTTTTTCTTTCTGGCTTATTTCAGTAAGAACGACCCCTTTTCAGCTCCATCCGTGTTGCTGCAAATGGCATGAATTATTAAAATGGTCATTCTACCAAAAGCAATTTATAGTTTCGATGCTATTCCAATAAAAATTTCAATGACATTCTTTAAAGGAATAAAACAAATATTGGTGGAATTCATCCAGAGCCACAAAAAAACCTCAAATAGCCAAACCTCTCCTGATAAGAAGAAAAGGAATGGAGGAATCACATGTCCAGACTTAAAACTATACTACAAAGCCATAATAATCAAAACTGGTAATGGAACAAGAACAGACATAGACCAATGGAATTGAATAGAAAGCCCAGACATAAACCCACAGTATTGTTGATTTTTTAATATGATTGCATGTGCTTTAGTTTTTGTTGTTGTTGTTGTTGTTTATGATGACTCAATGAGTCCCAGACCATCAGAAATGGTCACTATTTTATGTGTAAGAAAGAACCATTTCTCACTGCTGCTCTGCTAGATGTTGTGGAAAGAAGCTAAATCATGAGAATGGCACTAATTTGATAATTACTTATTTTTAATACAAAAATCTGTGTACTTTGTCAATAGAAAATACTTCATACAGGAAGTTTAATGATAATAGATAGAAATACTCAGTTAGTTCTTATATGTGAAATAGAAGGTGAAAACCCAATGGACATTAGAGATGAAAATATTTATGGGTAAGTCTTGATCCCCCATCCAGTTACATTTGGAACTTTAAAAAATGTAAATTTAAAAAATCTATTGGTATTGGTATTAGATTAAACTGATATGGTTAGGTTTTAATAATAAGCTTATACAATATTAAAGCTAGTTTTTAAAATTTTATATTTTTGATAATGGTAGCAGAATCTAATCTACACACATAACAGTATCTTTTCATAAAGTTTTCAACTCCTTATTGGGGCAAGTTTGGAGATACTTGACATGCCTTAACTGTTTTCAGGAGACTCAGTGCTTTGAAGTACAGGAATAGGTCAGGAATGCTTTTTCAAATTTTGTGCTGCTTGATCCATAAGCGTATGTAGTGGTTGTATGTCAGTTTTGATGCAAAATAATTAAATACCTATGAAAATCACCACTCAACCTAAAGGCAGATGTACTAGTTATTTCTTCTTAACCCCTTTTTTCACTTGCCTGCTTTTACTTTATCAAAATATAGTTTTACCACATAGAGACTCCTCAACAATATATCGTATAGGTCCCTGTTTTTCGCACTTTATAAAAATGTTACTCACTTTAACATGTCTTCTGTAACTTTTTTCATGTAACATGTTTCTAAGATTCATGCATGTCCTTTCTTATACTTCATTATTTTCCCTGTTGTGTAATTTTCCATGCATGACAACACCACAACCTATGCTTTTTCTGTTGTTGGGTTTTGGACTACGCTTACTATATTATTCTGTATGGTATGCCATGGTTACTTGTTTACATTTCTCCTGGGTCAGTGTGCGTCTCTCCAGGCTATCTACCCCTCACCACTAAATGTATTGAATCTTAGGATATGTGCATATTCAGCTTTACAAGTTCATGCAAATTTGCATTCCCAAGTAGTTATGTACACATTTTATGTTCTAACTTACAGAATGTAAGAGTTCCCAGTGCTCCTCATGCATGACTTTTTATATTACCAAGCATCAAAGAAATGCCATTTAATTTTCATAGCAATTGACTTCCATGTAACTGGTAAACCATATCAGGTTTAATTAACTTTAAATAGATCTTAATCCTGAAAGAATTTATTTGACGAGGGAAGAGGAAAATTGTCATTTCCATTCTATAAGTGAATGACTATATTTGGGGACTAATTGCTGATGGTAGGATCAATGAACAAATAATGATAACATCACAAATATCTGAGTGAGATTGTGGTCTAGTAGTATGCTGTTGCTTTGGGCAACTTAACACTTAATAATGTTAGAAATTTTTTTAAATTTAATTTCTAGCATTTTATTAGGGAGAGCTTTAAATATACAAAAAATAATCTATGGTAAGTCTCCATGTATTAATCAGTTCAACTTTCTGTAATTCTTGTGTCTTTTTGAGAGAATACAAACTATTGTGTTTTCCCTCTTTTCTACCTTTTTCCTTTTTTTTTTTTTAATAGAGAAACTGTTAAAGCTTGGGAGGAAACATGGAGAGAAAAGGAATGAGGTTACAAAAATGGGTGTGGAAAGCATGTAGTTAGATGCTTCCTTCATCCTCTTCCATTAACCTGTAATAGTTACTAAGCTGATACTTGAGTCTTGAAATTTAAGTCTTATGCAGGGAGATTATAGAAGACCTTTTGATCTGCCATTAGAACATTCATTCATTCATCCAAATTGTATTGACTATCTGCTATATGCCAAGCATTGTTCTAAGCATGAGGATGTAGCCATAAAACAGGAGACAAAGAGTGGGGGTGGGGAAGAGATATAATAAGCAACCAATATGATAGGTGATTTTGTCACATGCTATGGAGAAATTAAGACAAGATGCTGGTGGGTAGGGGTTGAGTGTCATTGATTTAGTTAGGTGGGTTGGGGGTGGCCTTACCCCCAACCAACATTTATTTATTTATTTATTTATTTTAAGATTTATTTATTTGTGCATACAGAACTGGGGAATAGGCCAGAAGTACAGGGGGCAGTGAGAGGATTCACCAGAGGCACTGTGGGGAGCAGAACAGGCAGATTGACGAAGTATACTAGCACGTCAGGAGAGGTCTGCCGTGCCATGTGGGTCACCTCCGGGGCGGGCAGGATTCGAACCCATGCTGAAGTGGCTTTAGCTTCTTAATGCTGTGCTCTAGCCTGCTGCACCACCAGGGAGGGACCCCAGTCAACATTTAAACAAAGACTAAAGACCTGGGACAGGGAGCAGGGTACATACATAGGGGAGGTCTTCTAGGAAGAGGGAATGACTTGTGGGAAAGGCCACAGAGTGAGTGTATCTGTTTGAAGACAGAATGAAGTAGAAAGCAATAAAGATGAATCTTAAGAAAAAGGGGTGAGGGAAAAGGCAACTATTGTATAGAACTTGGTGGGTCATTTTAAGGCTTTTTTTGTTTGTTTTTTATTAGAAGATTTTGAATTGAGAGTAGTAAGATCTTACTTAAGTTTTTAAAAGCTCACTGTGGCTGCAGTATTGAGCTGGGGATTGAACCTGCATGGAAGCAGCTGTGGCCAGCTTGCAGTGCTGTGTCCCAACCTGCTGCGCCACCAGGCAGGGTGGCTGTAGTATTGAAAGAAATCTACTAGAGAGGGAAGGGCAAGGCCAGAAGACAAGCTGGCTGTATCAGGTACAAGCCATGAGTGAAGTTAATTGTAAGATTTCAGATGTCTCTTGATGGTTCAGCAAACAGGATTTGCTGGCGGGCTGCATGTTGACGGTGAGAAAAAGAGGGATCTCAAAGGTTATTTAGTTTGGAATTTTGTATAGATTGGAGATGATTTTAACTGGGATTAGAAAGACTGGAATTAGAGAAGATTTTGGAGTGAAGATGAGAAGTTTGTTTTGGATACTTTAAGTGTGAGACACCTTTTAGCTGACCTAATGGAGTTATTAAGTTAGCATTAGACTTCATGAATCTGGAGTTCAAGGTAAATATAACTTAGAAATAGAGCTTTGAAAAATCGTTCACTTATAGGCTATATTTAAAGCCATAAGACTAGATGGCAAGTCTATTGCTTTTTGTGGATATTGGTTCCACTATCGGGATTGTTTTCAAATATTTTCTCTATGGCACATGGATCCCATCTGCTGACCAGTCTGGGTCCAAGGCAGTTGTCACTGTTAGTTCAGTTCTCAAAGTCCTTGATATGCTAATTGACAACAGGTCCATTGCATAAGCTCAAAAACAAGCTGGCTGTACCAAGTACTGAGCTAAGGGATGAGCTCAGGAGATTTTTTTCTGAACTCTTCACTCCCTGGAATCTCCAAAATATTTACTGTCCTCTACCCTGGGATTCTTACTTTTCATTCTGTGATCAGAAAATAGGGTCCATTCTGCTGCCGGCTTTCTTGACTATTGATCTGATTCCAGGCTGCAGGAGGACCAGCGTAAACTCATTATACCACTTTTCTAAAGCTGTCTACTATCTTTTAGTTTTTAAAGTCTCCAAATAGCTGTATCAAATATTCTGTCCCAGTTTCATAGCTGCATTCAGTAAAAGAGAGTGTGTATTTGCTCCATTTTATCCAACATTAGGATTCCTAAATGAATTTTCAGATTAATTACAGATTCCCCAATGATACTGACTGTTAATTACCTTCCTTATTAGAATCTGTTGCTCATAAGTGATTTACCATGTATAACAGTTGTTATGTTTTCTTGAAATTTGTTTATTTTGCACCAAATAATCTAGTTCTAAAATTTCAGATGCATCCTTCTTTCTCCATACAGATGAGGTATTTATACTTATTCAGAACTTTGCCATGTCTACCACAGAGAGCATTTCTGAATTTATTCTCAGGAGACTTACTATGAATGAACTAAACAGCGTAAGTATACTTTTGAGTGACATTTCATCAGTATTTCAGTGACGGTAGACATTGTTAAATTGTAAAGAAAAATACGTTAATGTGATAGTTTCTTAATGTTTGGTCTTAGGGAAGAGAAAAAAAAAACTAAAAATTATCTTAGTACCTGTCTGTTATAACAGCAACCTTGGGAAAGTTATGTAGCTTTTATAAATCTCAGTTTTCTCATCTGTAAATTGAGATAATGTACCTACTTCCCAGTATCCAGAGAGTTTCAAAGAATATATCATATTTGAAATACTTAACTTATTTGTTCCCAGATTCTGACTTAGAAGATTTGGGGTAGTATCTGCATATGTATATTTTTATATATGTACTTTATGGAGTTTTATACAAAGCTCCATGAGTGGTTGCAAAAAACTGTTAGAGTTGGAAACAGTAGACTGAGACAGAGAGGATGCTTTGTGAATGTAGCTATATTCTCTTTTTTTATTTTTTAAATAATTTATTCTTTCTAAGATAACTGGAAAAAATAATAAAAATTTCCCTCTTTAAGAATATTTCAAAAATACCAATTCTTACAGAATGCCTATTTTAATTTTTTTTTTAGTTGAACTCTTTAGGGATATAATTGAAGCAATTAGAGTCAATAGATCATTGATAAAGTGAGAAAATACACTTATTTTAACTATTATTAGAATGCGAGAAGAAGTACATTTGTTTGCTAGCTGGTAAGTAGATATTAAGATATAACAAGACTAGTTTTATACTGAAACACTCGCGATGATATGATAGAAAGTTAAGAACCCTATGGACTAGGGAGTGCTTATCTTTCTTCTTATTAAGCAGCTATTAACAGCAGTCTGGAAACACCTGAATTCCCAAGAAGGTATTTAAAGAAACTTCTAGGAAACTTTTATGGTTTATTTTGCTCCAGGATTATCATTATTATTTTTATTTTTTAAACATGGAAATTTTCAGAAGTACACAAAACTATAATGAACCTCTGTGTGACCATTAAATAACAGGAATGTTCTTGTTTGTTTGGAATCAGAAGCTAAAATACCTTAAGAAAGAGAAAGTGTAATGTGATTTTTACCTTTTAGATGCAAGGATTTTAAAGAGTAAATTTAACATATGTAGTTTAAAATTATTTTGAAAAATTCACTCTTTAAATATTTGCACCTTGGAATACCCAGTTAGGTACATATCTTTTTTTTTTTTTTTAAAGATTTATTTATTTGTGCATAGAGAATTGGGGTACAGGCCAGAGGCTCAGGGGCAGTGAGAGGCTTCACCAGAGACAGAGCGGGGAACAGAACAGGCAGATCAGATAGACAAAGTACACAGCTGAGGGGAGCAGCGGGTGGGTCAGGAGAGGTCTGCCTCGCCATGTGGTCACCTCCGGGGCAGGCAGGAATCGAACTCATGCCGAAGCGGCTTTAGATTCTCAGTGCTGTGCTTTAACCCGCTGCACCACCAGGGAGGGCCCTAGGTACATATCTTTAATAGCTTAAAGTTTAATAAAAATAACTTTCCACATTTCTCCTCCCCTCAGTGGTGTGATAATGTTTAACAGCAGGCCCTGGGCTTGAGTGCAGTCCTGACTTCATCAGTTTCCCTCCCTGATTTCAACTTGCCAGCATGAAGCCACTGATCAGAGAGATAAACTGTACTTTTTGCTGTTCAGGCTGTTTCCAGCACTCTGCTGCCGTATCTTTACCTGACGGAGTAGCTAGTAACCATCAGACTCATTTTAGTTTCCAACTGTTAGACATCTGTGTGCTTATCTGCACCTGACTAACCTCCCTGTTTTTTCTGTTAGTGTAGAGTGAGGCAGTCTGGACTCAGCCTCATCCATTTTCTCAAAAACTGTATACTATTGATTATCTTCTCATATTTTCAACCTCTCCTTTTCTTTTGGGTTCTTTTTATGAACATTGAATCAACGTTGAGTCCCCACCTTAAGGACCCTCTTTCAATGGAGGTATTTCTTTTACTTTGTAAACTAATGTATAAACAGATGCCTCACCTCCATTCTCTAAGGTTTCTGCTTCTGTCATGACACAGTATAGCTCTCTCTAAGGTTGCTGATCACCCCTTTGTCACTAACCCAATGGATAATTTCAGGCTTGTTTTCTTTATTGCTCAAGCCTATGGACCCTGTTGACTGGAGGCCCTAGCCCTGCCTGCTTCCTGTGGTATTGTCCTCTCCTGGCTTTCTTCTCACCTCTCTGGTCATTGTTTCCTACTTTACTTTTTGAATGTCTGTTTTCTACTAAATGGAATTTTTTTTTAAAAGACACTTAAGCTTGGCATTTTTTTCTTATTTTCTTTGATATCTCTTATCTAATCTGCTTTCCCAACTTCAGGCATGCCAGGGACCCTAGCATCTCTGTTTCCACCTCAGACCATTCTTCTGCACTTAACACCCATTAGCTAATCTCTTTTTGACACTTGACACTATTCAGAACTGACTGCCTTCACATTGCTAGCTCCCTGCTAGAGTATCTTCTCAATAGACATCCTACCATCCCACACATTTCACAATCCACAAGTTTAGGTACCGCTATTTGCACTATATTGTAGCACTTGGCAAAGTTGCTCATTAAAATCTGATAAATGAATGGTATGTTTGTGTGCCAGAGAAGGCCTCAAAGTTATACTCACTGGTATAGTAATAATAATTAAATCATTATCCAGTGCTAGTTCATCTAGTAGTATACTTTTCTCTCAATTCTTTCAAAAACCTATGATGGATAGTTATTAGCCTGTTTTGTGGGTAAGCCATCTGAACCCTAAAGAAGTTAGGTAATTACTGTAGTTCACAAAGCTGTATTAGAAGTGAACCGAAACCAGTTCCACCTAAGTCTGGGTTCCGAAAGACCTGCGTTAATTCTGTCCTTCTCATTTACTTGCTCTGAGAAACTGGGTAAGTTGTTCATCCTTTTTGAAACTTAGCCATCTTAGGAAAACGTATTGTCTGTATGACACAAAGGTAACTTCTATGGTTGTTACTGTTAATGATGTGCTGACCCTGGAATTCATTAATTGGAAGAATGTAGTTTCTGCCTTCCAGTGTCTCATAATCAAGGTGGGGCCAGATGAGTCAATTGTGATCCTTGCTAGAGAAGGACATCTTTAGCTTTGCCTAGGGAGATTATCTATGGGAGACTTCCTGAAGAAAATGACTTTTTCCCCTCATTAATGCCATGTTTTAGTGCTCTTAAATAAACTATGTTACTTACTATCTAAAATCTCTTGTGAAAATCATAGCTCATGGTTAAATGTCGTATTATTTGTCTTAGGTTTCAGATCTGGATCGTTGCCATTTGTACCTTATGGTTTTAACTGAGCTTATAAATCTCCACTTGAAGGTTGGATGGAAAAGAGGTAACCCCATTTGGAGAGTTATTTCTCCTTTGAAAAATGCATCTATTCAGCATCTTCAGGAGATGGACAATGGACAGGTAATCCTTTTTGATTCAAGTCTTGTAGTTAGTTAAAAAAGACATACATGGAATACATATTTGATTATTGTATTCCACTTAGATATCATAAAAAGTGTCTGCTGAAATTTAATTTCTAAAATAATATCCTGTGTTCACAATATTTGATGAAGAGTGAAACTCCTATTGTAATATGAGGTATATAATAAAGATGTGGTGACTTCAATCTTAAAATCACTTAGATGCAGAGAGTGGATTTGCACTGATATTTGCCCTTGTATTCAAATTCATCAGCCTGGCATCCAGAGTCCTCCATACCTGGCTTTCAAATTTATTTTTTTGCTTAGTCATCTACTACCTTTCCTCTTCTTACACTGTCCTTTATGTCATAGTTACTCAAGGCCTCTATGGAGATTAGTCTTCCCTCTGAAAATGCCCTCCCTTCTAATACATATGTGTCAGTGTTTGATTTGTTCTGTGGGGCTCAATTCAAATCACATTTTCTCTTAGAGACCTTTGTTTAGCATACCATTCTTTTATTTCCTGTTGCTCTTTATGTCTCCATTATAGTGTGTGTATCCATCTTGGTTTTGGAGTAATTTATGTCTTCTCCACCAGATTTTAGCACTTAAAGGTATTTTTTATACATGAAAGAGTAGAACATAGTGATTAAGAACAGAGGCTTTGGAGGTAGACTTCCTGTTTGTAAATTCTGGTTTTATCTTTACTAGCAATATGACGTTGGATAAATTTCTACACCTCCAAAATGAGGGTTAAAAGGTTGATGTGGGAGTGAAAGTAAACTTATATATGTTAAAACTTTAGAACAGTGCCTTATACAAAGAAAGTTTTTAATGTTATCTGCTTCTACTTGACACATGGTAAGCAGAGTCTACGCTGTTCATTAAAACAAAGAGGCTACCTGGTGGCTTTAATAGTTAATTTTTAAAGTAGTTTTCAAGAACTGACTTAAAACAAAGTAATAAGGAAAATTGATTTATATTTCAGCATCCTATTTAGTATGTATGAATATACTACCTGAAAGAACACTGGTTTTGAATGGAGACCAAAATCATGAACCATACCATAGTGATTGTTAAAGATTGACTTGGTTTCTTAAGTAACACACTGAATTACATTAAGGTTGACCATAATTGGCTCACCACATTGACTCAAAAGTAACACTGTTTTATAGTTAGCAGTGATGCTATGTAAAATTTACATGTAGAAATACTTGATTTGTTTTGGGAGGACAAGGGCAAGGTATAAACAAATGGAGCAAAGTTCCTTTATGGTGAATATGTTTTTGGTTGGCAATATTTGAGTGAATTGTTCTGGTCTCTTAGTGTAATTCCTGGCTTCTTAATCAGAGATGGTTGATTTTTCTCTAAGTATGAAGCTAGGCTGTCTTGGTTTCCTTCCTTCATGCTCCTGCATGTAGATTTCTGGGTACTTTACATGAATCACCCTTTTGGTCTTCTCAGTAATCCTATGAAGTAGATTCTATTAATGTTCCCATTTTACACATTAGAAAGCTAAGGCACAGTATGCCCACAGGTGAACAGGTAGTAAGTACAGAGCCAGGATATACTCCTGGACCATGTGACTTATGAGTCCAACTGTTAGCTGCTGTGCTATATTAGTTCTTCAAAAACAGCACAAAGCTGCTGTCTTTCTTTCCCCTCCTTTCCTCACTAACTCTCTTTCTCCTTACTACAGTTAAAACTAGACTCAGAGAAATATTATCTTTGAGTGTGTTTTAAGATTTATTTATTTATACAGACAAGAACTGGGGTATAGGCCAGAAGTGCCTGCACTTCTGTAGGGGGTGAGAGAATTCACCAAAGTGGGGAGCAGAACAGCCAGATCAACTGAAATACATAGCTTGATAGTGCTGTCTTTAACCCCATGCGCCACCAGGGTATGCCCCTCTGAATGTGTTCACAAGTAGGAAAAGCTTCAGAAGTTCTGATTCATGTAGTTTGTGTTTTGTGTGTAGCAATTCTACCATATGCTACTGCTAGGAACACATCAGGCAAATGAAGATATCAAATTTGTCCTTTTAGTCTGAACTGTTTGAAGTTTTATTGCTACTTAAATTTGCCATCAGTCTTTAGGAAAGTAGCTAAGCTTGATAGCATGTAGTAGTTTCCTTTTATGTTCAGTATCGGGCAGGAAGAGGAAGAAGGGATCATGGGATTTCCTTAGAATGGCAGCTCACTTCCTTAATGTCTGACATGCTTCTATTAAATGAAAGACTATCTTTCTCCTCCTCAGGAGCCAACACTTGGTAGACAGATTCAGAGGGTTGTTAGTATGGCCTCCCTAGCCATGGTGTGTGAGGCCATTGATCAGAAGTCAGAACTACAGCTGGATTCACTGGATGCTGGACCTACAGAAAGGTTCCTCTCCTCTCTTCAGCTCAATCAAACACTGCAGAAGCCCCACACGGAGCAAAGCAGGTCTGTTCACTGTCTGAATCTAGCATGTTTGTGAATGCATTTTTATTGCTAATGTTTAAAAATCCTGTTTTCTTTTCAGTCAGTCATATGGTGGTCATCAAATATTACTTAGGAAATTTGTAGATAAAGTTGTATTCATGATGATATTCTCACAGTATTTCTTTTGCTGGGAACCCATTAACTCTTCTTCTGCATGTAGTTTTCAGGGCATCATTTAAAGTGAGTGAAATAGAGACTTTTGGGTAGTTAAAGAATTGAGGTGTATGTGGATTTTTTGTGTTTTTTGATAGAATATTTACTATGACTTTAATCTCTCCGCTTGTAAGGAAAGTGTACTATATGCAAAAGGAATTGAGACAAACTTCAGGAAGTACGGTTGTGACTTTAGTTTTTTATCTCAGTTGTTTGATTTCTTGTTTGTTTTTCAGGTTTTTTGAAGAATCATCATCTTCCCAAGGATGGGGGAAAATAGTTGCACAATATATTCATGATCAGTGGGTCTGCCTTTCTTTCCTATTGAAAAAATATCACACCCTTATACCAACATTAGAGAGTAAAATTGTGGAGCCTGTTTTACCTGCTGTTCAAAGGCCCATAAGGACCCTACAATTTGCACTAGAAGCTCTCACAATTCTTCCTTCTGATCAAGTTTTACCTGTGTTCCATTGTATGAAAATTTTGGTTCCCAAGGTAAGCTATAGTGAGACATGAAGTTTTTTGAAGAAAATCTATAGGAACAGAAATCAGTTTTTGAACTTAAGTGGTAATTCTCTCTCTCTTTTTCTTTCCTACCAGCTTCTGACCACCTCTGAGTCACTCTGCATAGAATCTTTTGACATGGCTTGGAAAATTATATCTTCTTTAAGCAACACTCAGTTAATATTCTGGTCTAATTTAAAAGCATTTGTTCAGTTTGTTTTTGACATCAAGGTTCTTACCATTGCTGCAAAAATCCAGGGGCAGGCATATTTCAAAATAAAAGAGGTAACTTTAAAATTGATGTATAAAACACATAATATGAAATGAACCATCTTAACCATTTTCAAGTGTACCATCCAGCAATGTGTAAGTATTTTACATTGTTGTAAAATGTACTTTCTTGTCTTGGAGAATGACAACTTTGTACACATTAAGCAGCCCCTTTATTTAATTTCACTTAAATAATAGCTGTTAGCAATACTAAATTTGGGGAGGGGGAAGCTAAATTGGTCAAAGATAAATGACTATTGTATTTCGTTCTAGATTATGTTCAAGATAATTGAAATGTCTGCTATAAAAACTGGAGTCTTCAATACCCTGATAAATTATTGCTGCCAATCTTGGATAGTTTCTGCTTCAAATGTGTCCCAAGTATCATTATCAAGTGCTAAAAATTATAGTGAACTTGTCCTTGAGGCTTGTATATTTGGAACTGTTTTTAGGCGTGATCAAAGGTAAAAGATGTCATTATTTCTGCCTGCCATAACTTATGTTAAATACCTGCTTTAGTAGAATTATGTCTTGGGACTTTGAATTAGAAAAACACAAAGCATTAGCTTTTAATTTGGGGCTTTTGTTTTACTTCCTTTATGAAACTTATTTTTTTATTTTTGTCTGATGTTTTTATGGAAAGACTTATTCAGGATATTCAGACCTTCGTAGAAAATCTAGGACATGATTGTGCAGCAAATGTTGTTGTTGAAAAGTAAGTATAGTAGATTTCCCATGTCTTGATATAAGTGAAATACTTAGAATTTAACATCACGTGAGAGAAATTGTGTATTTGTTAAATTTAATAAATGTTTACTAGTGATAATGTATTTCAACATAGTAAATGAGTCTTCAAAAGTACGTTAGAAATTATAGTCTCTTGCTAGTATACTTTCTTTAGATCTCTTATAATTTACTAAGATGGGATAAGTAAGTCTGTAAGAAATGAGGAAATGACTATAAGGAATATAAAACCCCTATCTGTTTTGGGGTGGAGGAGTTATTATCAGCCACATATATTCAAATTTTGACTAAAATTTACCATTTATTTAGTGTCAGTATGCTAGGTACAAAAAATTACTCTTGGCCCAGGCACTATAAAGTTTTGATTTGAGGGATAAGAATATCCTTATCTCTAATCTCTAGTTTGTTTGGAGCTTGTCAACCTTGTAGAAAACTTTTCATTTTTACATAAATATTTCACAAATTAAGAAAAAATTGTGTGTAGGTGTTTCTAGAGAAGATCATAAATGGATGAGATAAATGATATATTTGTTTTGATTTTAGAGTTTAGGATAGCAAATGATAATCAATTATAGTTACCACAAAAGGTCTGTTCTGAGAGTCATAGTTGTATTTTAAATCATTTAATACTCTTCATTAAATATATATTTTTATTTACATTTTTACTTTTAATTATGTCAACTGATCTTTGTTTTGTTTTGTTGGCTGGTTTAGTGTAGCATTAAAAGTGAAATTTCCAAATTTGAACAGTTCTGTAGTTATTTGATTTGTTCGAGACAAATGTTTTGCTGTTAAAATGACATTCATACCATAGTATGTAAAATAAACTTCAGAAATACTTAATAATTTCAATTTCACTTAATTGAATTTAAGTGTCAGTAAGAAATACCATTGAGATTTTTTTATGCATATTCTTTCCCCAGATGAACAGATGTATCTTGATCCTCTTTTAGGAATAGGTTCATGAGAAATGATCTATTTGTCCATAGATATTACTAACCAGGATCAGTAGTGTGAATTGTTTTTCTAGAAGACTGGGTAAAATTGTGCTTTTTCTGGCTTTCTGTATAGACTCTCCTTCTGCCATGTGCATTTGTTATCTTCTCCTGTTTACAGAATTAAAACATTGACTTTAAGTTGGAAGGTTTTGTTATTTGTTATATTTTGAAATTAACACAATTTATTTTTGTTATGTAAATGTAAAATGTTATACAGTTTCATTTTATTTTATTTTATTTTTTAGTACTAAAAGAGAGGACCATTATGTGAGAATTTGTGCTGTGAAGTTCCTATGTTTATTAGATGGCTCAAATATGTCTCATAAGTTGTTTATGGAAGATCTTGCAATCAAGCTACTAGATAAAGTAAATGTGCTTTATTTTACTTTAAGAGAGTTTTGTTTTTATGTAGTTAATAAATCAGAATGCAACACTTGCTCTTTAGTGTATGTCAGAGTAGCAAGAAAATACATGAAGCTTATGTTCCATATATTTTTTGAAAGATTTATTTATTTATGTGTATAAGAACTAGGGTGTAGGCCAGAGGTGTGGGGGTGAAAGGATTCACACGAGACAGAGTGGGGAGCAGAACAGGCAGCTTGACTGAAATATACTGCTGAGGGGAGCAGTGGGCAAGACAGGAGAGGTCTACTGTGCCATGTGGGTCACCTCCGGGGCTGGGGATCCAACTCTTGCTGCAGTGGCTGTGGACAGCTTCACAATGCTTTACCCATTATGCCACCAGGGAAAGCCAGCTTATGTTTCATATTTTGAGTTAAATCTTGACTAGGAGTCATTCCATTCAACTTTGGTTTAGAGAACAATGAGGCTTCCCTATGCTATCTAAACTTCACTCTATTTTTCCAGTCCTACTCAAAACCAGTATCAATATATTGCTTTATGTAAGAAATGGAAAAATAGGTAAAAGTTTAGAGTGGCATATGCAAAGAAATTGATTTTTTTTTTTTTTTTGAGTCTGCAGAATTATTTGTAAGTGATTATTTGAAGAATGGGTTTGGTAAGTCTGGGATTAAGATAGAAGGGGATAGGCCCTCCCTGGTGGCGCAGCGGGTTAAAGGACTGCACTAAGAAGCTGAAACCACTTCCACATGAGTTCGATTCCCGCCTGCGCGGAAGTGACCACATGGTGTGGCAGACCTCTCCTGGCCCGCCCACTGCTCCCTCAGCAGTGTACTTCGTCGATCTGCCTGATCTGTCGCCCACTCTGTCTCTGGTAAAGTCTTTTGCCACCCCTGAGTCTCTGGCCTGTACCCTAGTTCTGTATGCACAAATAAATAAATCTTTAAAAAAAAAAGATAGAAGGGGATAAAGTATATTGCTTATTTCTGCATTTGAAGCTGCAATAGACAGAGTGCTTGACATGCTAGCTTGGACACTGTACTATAACCAGTGATCATTGGACCCCCTTGTCTCTTGTGCAGAAATAGCAATGTTCATCATGCATTTGTTTTCTGAGGGTAACACATCAGCTTTATTATATGAAACCTAGAAAATATGTTGGTGCAGAAATTCCCTCTTTTGCGCTCTTGGATTCAGAAGTGATGTTTAAGAGGAAATAATGTTTTATTGGTTTCTTGAAGGCAGGATACTCTACCAGATACAATGCAGTACATTTTTGTGATGTATATTAGAGTGTAATATAAACTAGAACATTGTTTTGAGAAAAATCAGAATCAGGAGGAGGGGTCTTGGTGTTGATAGTGGTTCTGAGAAGCATCTACTAGGGATAGTTCAACTCAACATTTTTTTAAAAAGATTTATTTATTTATGTTTATAGAACTGGAGTACAGGCCAGAGGTGTGGTGGGTGAGAGGATTCACCAGAGATAGAGTGGGGAGCAGAACAGACAGATTGACAAAGTACACTGCTGAGGGGGGCAGCAGACGGGTCAGGAGAAGTCAGCCACGCCATGTGGCTCAGCTCCGTGGCTGGGGATGGAACTCGAGCTGCAGTGGCTTCGGAAAGCTTCATAATGCGGTGCTTTAACCCATTGTGCCACCAGGGAGAGCCCTCAGCTCAACTTTTAAATTACCCCAATTTCAACCCAGGTACAAGGGAAAATTTGAGAACTTAATTTAGCTGTAGATGTATTAAATTGGGATATTCACATGAAATCACCTAATAATAGGCAACTGGGCATATGATGTTTATAAAGAAATAGACTCCATCTTACCAGGGATGGTTGAAATCATAAATATTCACCAAACCATACAAGGATGCCCAGAGTGAGAGTTTTAGGAGGACCAGCAGATACAAATGTACACCTGGCAGTTGACGTTTGGACCACACACACACCTCACAGCCAGGGGGCGCTCTGCTGATGGAGAAAGGCTCTATGCTGCTGTTGTCCTGGTTCTGGTGATGCCGTTGCTGGACCCATCTCTGTGGCGTTCCTGTCTCAGTGGTGTATATCAAATTGTAGGTACTATATTCTAAACTATGCAGATGAAGGGGGCTTAAATGAGAAGTACTTTATCGTGCATTGTAGTAAATGTCAACTATCTCTGTCTTTTCCCACTCCCATGTGACTTTGTGTGACCACAAAGAAGTAGCAGTATAGTGCCAAATACTTTTGGTATTGAATGCAGTTTTACAGTTCTTTTTCTAATTTAAAAACAAGTAAGTTAAACAAATAAAACTGAGCTTTCCAAAGGAAATAAAAAAAAATGTCATTAGAAAGTGTTTTTTAATTTATCCTCCTTTCTGCCTTTTGGAGAATAATTGATTTCTGTGACCAATTAACACTTTTTAAATTTGAAGTTGTCAATGCTATTTTCATTAATTACAAATTCAGTAGCTAATTTAATGTTGATTCTCTCCCTGGCCCCCAGGATGAATTGGTGTCCAAGTCTAGGACTCGATACTATGTGAATTCTCAACAACACAGAGTGAAAAACAGAATATGGCAAACTCTGCTTGTACTTTTCCCCAGATTTGATCAGGTATTTATTATATTTATACCTTAAGCATAATATTTTCATATGAACATTTGGTAGAAACTTTCATGTTCTATGTTAAGAACTTTACAGAGTTCTTAAAGTTAAAGTTAGGAAGCCTGGTGAGGCATGTAGGTATTGTTGAAATAAGGTGGAAACTGTTTTATATGGCCCCATTTAAGATTTTAACTGTTTAAAATGCTATTTGATTAGAAAATATAAATCTGTGAACTCCTGATTTTCCACTCCTAAGTTAATTTGGAATGCTACTGTTTTGGATTATCTATGTACTGGAAAAACCAGGGAAATAGCATTATTAAGGAGGAGGTTGTCATTTCTCATGGTTAGTTCTCCTGTTCTTAGTTTAAAGTATAATAAGGCCATTTAAATCAACTAACATTAGAGTTTCTACCCAAAGTTTACCCTTTTTCTTTCCTGAGAAGGCAAGGAACAGATAATTATATGATTATAATTATGAGATATATTGGAAATGTTAGCTATGGTGATAATCATATTGCAAATTTAAATGTATCAAATCAGAATATTGTATACCTTAAATTTATAAATATTACATATCAGTTATATCTCAACAAAAGTAATTTTTTTAATAGCCATAACATAGCAGCTTAATTTGTGAACTTTACTTTCTCAGAATTTCTTGAATAGAATTATTGACAAGATTTTCCAGGCTGGTTTCATTAATAATCAAGCATCCATAAAATATTTTATAGAATGGATTATCATATTGATTCTTCACAAATTCCCTCAATTTCTTCCAAAGTTCTGGGATTGCTTTTCATATGTAAGTAAAGGATATTTTTCCTATTTTTTTTAATTATAAAATTTGAGATATGCTGGGAGATTTATTTCACTTTGATAGATGTTTTAACTTTCAATTGCCTATCCCTAATATATTGACATTAAGTTTTGCTAGGTTTTAATTTTAGGAGACAAAATCCTCTGCTATTTATCTTGAGTAAATCATAGTTTTTATTGAGAGCTATTCAGTTCTAACAAAATGAAGGTGAAAAAGGCTTTTGTTATTAAGAAGGGAAACAAGTGCCTTCTATGTTCTTATTCACTAAGTGTTGTCTTTATTTGATCTTAGAAACAGGAATGATGAGGAATTAAATTGTATACCTTACCTTTTAAGTATGGAAATTTCAAATCAACCAAAGTAAAAAGACTATCAGTTAACTAAAACCAAATATCAATTTATTTTCATTCTTATTTCATCTGTAGCCCCCTTCACACCCCTTAACTCCCCATCACCAACATTTCTTAAATCTTAATAGTCATTTTTTTAAAGATTTATTTATTTATGCATACAGAACTGGGGTACAGGCCAGAGGTGGAGGGGCGGTTACAGATTCACCAGAGACAGAGTGGGGAGCAGAGCAGGCTGACTGACTTAAGTATACTGCTGAGGGGAGCAGCAGGCAGGTCAGGAGAGGTCTGCTGCGGCATGTGGATCACCTTTGGGGCGGGGATCGAACTCATGCTGAAGTGGCTTTAGCTTCTCAGTGCTGTGCTTTAACCTGCTGCGCCACCAGGAAGAGCCCTTGATAGTCATTTTAAAGGAATTTATTCTAAGATTAATGATAGAGTTACAAATGCAGGAGATTTCTGGGCATATAACAAATTCTACACCTTGACCCAAAATACTTGCCTGGAATGTTTTTCTGTCGGTTTCTAAATTCATTCTTCCTTTTCTTTATTAGTGATTTGCCTTTTACTTCTTGTGGAAATGGCTTCCTAAAAGTAACTATTGTTGTGTTTCTTCTTTTTATTTTGGGGGAGAAATTGTTCACTTTTCTCACATCTATCCTTGTGCCCTATTTCTGATCACTTTTGGAACTTTGAATTCTTCATCCTTAACATGTTCATTTGTCTCTTTCTGACCCCATCATGTTAGTATCCTCTTTTCCCGTGATTAAACTTCCAGAATGAATGGTTTTTTACCTCTCTCTCTTGTACCACTTAAACATCTGTGGTTCATAGCATTTTTGGAAATCGGAGATCAAGGACTTTATATGCAGCTTTTTTTTCTTTTCCTCTTTCTTTTGCTTTCCATCAGGGCGGCCTTTCACATCAGCAGCTGCTTTATCTACAACTGAGTGCTGTGTGGACTCCATAGTTCCCCTGCTGTTCTTCTGGTCACTTCTATGCTTCTTTTCTTTCTCCCAACCCTTACTCTTGATTTTTATCTTAAGAATCATTCTTTAGTCACTTTGCTTCTTTCTCTGTACTCCTTTTCTTTGTAAGCTCTGGTGTCTGCTGGTTCACTGCATCTTCAGCCACATGCTTCACATTGTACATTATTTCTTCAGACTTCACCAATCAGACTGATAGCTTTCTCTTCTAAAACTGGCTCCTTTTTCTGCCATCTCTCCTTCTTCCATTCCTAGATTGAACCCTGGTGTCACAATCAGCAGTAGTAACACTTCACTGTAATCCTACAAGATTGGTTGGAGTTTTTACATTTTACTTAATGAAAAATGGAGCTCAGACCAGTCAAGCTAATTTGTCATATCCTAAGAAATGACAAAGCTTTAATTAAGGTGTCTAATTTATTAAGCTGCTTTCTTTTTCATTACTTCAAGGTTCCTAGTTCAGGTTCTTCCTTCTCTTTGTAATTAATACAAGCTTTGTGTCTTTTCCTTCCTAGCTGCTTCTCAGGGTTGTTTTATTAATTTGGTTCATTTCACATGTTCTCAAGTGGGCATCATTGCCTCAGAAATACTCACAAAAGACAGGTTGGCTCTGGTGTACATCCAGGACATCCTGTATTGGGGATACATATGATACATCTTATGTATAATGAGATTATATTATATCATAACATACAATAACATTATATCATAATAATACGATTATATCATATTATACCTGGGTCTAATAATATTGGCAGTTCTATAAAATTTTTCTACTTAGCTCAGTCTCTTACTTTTCATAAAGAGCTTTTGGACCTTGTATATTTTCTTCATATCTTTTCTTGTGGACGCCAGTCATAGTTTTTCATTGTAAGCAGATGAAACAGCTTTTGTTGATTAAATCAAAAGCAGGGTTAAAGCAAATGGTTGAATAGGAGGGCATGAGATTAAAGAATGTCTGCAAAGCTGCAGACTCAAGCTTTGAAAATAGGCAGGAGTAATAGTGCTTCATCAGCTTCTAAAACTGCAGCCACAGATATGTCATCGGGTTGATGCAGTGGGGAAATTGCTTTCTCCCAACTGGACACACTGTGCTATACCAGCCTTAGCCTGGTGAATACCTGCTCCTCTCCCACTGCATAAGATGGCTTCTCTGAGCTCTGTCTCTTTAGAGCACACAGTCCCAAATCAAAATTTAGAGTAGATTTTTCTAGATCCAGGTCAAATGCTTTCTTTTAAACTGCAAAGAGGCTAAGAAAATTAATAGCTTGCATTTCCAGCTTTTTCACAAGATCTACATAGTGGGAGAATTCCCTCAACTTGGGGCGGGGAATTAGGATAGATACCCCAAAAAGGGGAAAATGTCCAAAATACCTTCTTTCTTTATTGGAAGCAGATCAGTTTAATTTTTATATCTTTAGAGAAAATCATCACATAGGAATACCTTCTTTATCTTTCAATTGTAGTCTTACAAATCTACTTATGTCCATATGAGACTTCATCCCTTTTTACCGTAAAGGACCTGAGTCTTTTGTTCAAGATACTCTTTTGCTTGTTCTTTGAATCATCTTCCTTTCTGTCATCCTGTTTGCTGTCCATCTTTCTTCTGTACTCAAATCTCTCCTTAACCCAATGATTTCCACTGGCTTTTAAGCATTCTCAGATCTTAGTCATTGTTTGTAGATGCTTCCAGGGAAATTCTGTGTAAGTAAGGCTTCCTAAAAGAGATGTGCAGTTTTCTCTCATGGTCCCCACCTATTCTTTGGTCCAGTAGACCAGTTCTCAGCTAAAGAACTCAGAAAACACTATGTTGAATCAGCTGGTCATTCTCTATTCTTAGCTCCATCCTTACAGTTGACAACTTCTCTGTTCTTGGTTCAGTGACACACTTTCCAGGGTCCTCCTGACCTTCTGCTCCCTCTTTTCTCTGCTTTTTTTTTTTTTAGGCTTTCTTTCTCTGTTCAGCTAATAAATGTTAGTGCTTTTAAAGACCTCATCTTCTCTCCTTAATTTCTTCTTATTTTATAGTCAGTTTTATCTTAAGTCATGGATTCATTATTTGATATGAATTACTTGCTAATTTATATTTCTATTCCAGACATCTTCTCAAGTGCTAAATTAGGGATTGGCAAACTACAGCCAAATTCAGCCTATACTGGAATATACCATGTCTGTTCATTTTCACACTATGGCTATGGTTGCTCTTAAATGATGAATTGTGTAGTTTCTATGGAGACTGGTAGTCCATAAAGCCATATTTTGACTTACAGTTTGGTCCTTTACAGAAATTGTCTGTGGACCCCTGTGCTACTTTTTAAAATGCCTGAATGTTTGTAAATCATCTGGAAGTAAAATTACTTCTTTCCTTTGATTGCTTGAATCTGGAAAGAGGATGTAGTAGTGTTCCAGACCTTATCCCACCCAGCACCATGCTTACAGACCACAGCAAGTCTTGAATTGTTATTTTGTTTATCCGATTTGTTTTTCAGGGTGAAGAAAACCTCAAAACAAGTATTTGTACATTTTTATCTGTTTTGTCACATTTGGACATCATTGTTCAGAGTATTCCAGACAAGGTGAGTTTAAATTATCTGTAAGATGATTTTAACCTTGGCTAGCAATATAGAATTTTATATATGTGTACTAAATTTTTTTAAATGTAAAGTATTCCTTATGTTTTTTGTAATTTCTTCCCTTCTGCTCCCTACACCCCAAATGTATCCTTATACTTGAACACAAATGTAGTTCAAACACAGACACATACACTTTCTTTCTTTGTTATGTCTCAGTACATAGTGAATCTACAGATAAAATAATGAACAGATAATTTAATTAATAAGTTAATTAAATTAGTGAATCTACAGGTAATTTATTTAAATTAATTAGTTTGCTGAACTGCAAATAGCTGCAGCCACTTCAGTACAAGTTTGACCCCCCCAGCCCCGGACCCACATGGCACAGCAGGTCTCTCTCCAGCAATGCAGTGCAGTAGATCCACCTGATCTGCTCCCCACTCTGTTTCTGGTGAATTCTCTTGCTGCCCTGAACCTTTGGCTTGTATCCAGTTCTGTATGCATAAAGAAATTTAAAAAAAAATTAGTTAATGTACTTTAAATCTTCCTTGACATATAAATATAGTATTTAAGAAATGCTATTGCGACCTTCCCTGGTGGCACAGCGGGTTAAAGCTCAGTGTAAGTTTGATCCCTGGCCCAGGAGGTGATACACATGGCACAGCAGATGTCTCCTGTCTTCTCTGCTGCTCCCTTCAGCAGTGCACTTTGTCAGTCAGCCTGTTCTGCTCCCCACTCTGTCTCTGGTGAATCCGCTCACTGCCTCTGTGTTTCTGTCCTGTATTCCAGTTCTATATGAATATTTCTTATAGAAATTCATAGTTCTATATGAATAAATCTTAAAAAAAAATGCTATTGCAAAGAAATTTATGACCAGAGTTTTAAAAGTTACTGGGTAATAGAGGTGGATTATAACATGACTCTCATCATTTGGAGTGTAAGGTCCTCCAGTTCTTTCATCTTTCGGAGGTTTAGAGAATTTTCCTAGTGGCTCACTACACAGAAAGTAGAGATCGTAGCTAATTTAGTTTTGGTTAATCACTATGGCAACTGTCAAGAACTTAGGAAAACCTCCCAGTATGACTGAGAGCAAGATTTTGTGATATTTCCAGATGGTTTTGCTTATATGTGGAATATAGAGAAACCATACAAAGTTTGGATAAAATCAAACTCAGAAACTAGTCCTTGAAAACAGCTAGTAGAACTGAGACATTCAGAGTGGCGAGAGGAAAGGAGTGAAGATCAAATTGGGTGGGAACATAATGGACTATGGTGGTGGGTCTTGGTGCTTTGGTGGGAGCACTGTATGGTGACAGTACAGAAAGAGAGGAGTCGTGTACTTCCAAAATACAACCCTGTAAACAATTATTGCCTCAAATAAATAAAGCTAAAGGTAAAAAAAAAAGGAAGAATCTGTATTATTAAATCTGCAGAGAAAAATGTACTGATAGGTTAAAAACTCTTGGGGAAAACAACATGAAGTAACAAATGTTATTGTTATGTTGTTATGTTGAAAGAGAAATAAAAATACAGAGGGTAAAACAATCTCCAAGAATTTTTCAAAGTGTTTTTGTCTTTAAAACATTGGTAGGAACCAAATTTAGTTGTTAACCTATTACATCAATCTTAGCATATTTTTTTCCCAACACATTTCATTCTCTAATCATGATTAAAAGTGATGATATATCATACAGTGTCCATAAGCCAGGTAACAGGGTATTAGTTACAGTTCTGTGAAAACTTACATTAATAGTTTCTGTTAAGATCAAGGAATCTGTTGTATCAGATAACACCAACTTTTTTTATTTTTAAATATGTACAGGAAGAGATTTGCTTATTGTCTAGTGAGAGAGTGAAGACAGACAAGAAACTCTTATAGTAGGGTGGAAATAGTTCAAGAAATAGTGTTGACAAATTCTGAAAGTGAATTCATCTTGGGCCCTTTTTTACTTTCTTTATGTTACTTATTATAAGTTACCTTTTATTTTCAAAATAATCTTAAACAGAATCCTTGATTAAAAGAAGAGAATCTCAATTTCAACATCTGAAAAAAAAGTCTAAACTTGAGATAAGTAAGTGAAAGCCAAACCACTTTACTTTGTTAGTTTCTTAATTTATAATCTATAAAATTCATTGTTACTTGACAAATGTGATTTTTTGTTTTTTGAAGATTTATTTATTTATACATACAAGAACTGGGGTACAGACCAGAGGAGTGTGTGGGGTGGGAGAAAGAGGATCCACCAGAGACAGATTGGGGAGCAGAACAGGCAGATTGACTGAAATACACTGCTGGGGGAGCAGGTGGATTAGGAGAGGTCTGCTGTGCCATGTGGGTCACCTCCCCTGCTGGGAATCAAACTCGTGCTGCAGTGGCTGCCAGCAACTTCATAGTGCTGCACTTTAACCCATTCGTTGCACCACCAGGGAAGGCCCTTTGCTTAAAGACTTCTTGGAAGCAGTTATTGAAGGCTTTCCATTTTCTTTAAAGTATGTAATTTAACTGGTGTATAGGATCTGCACTCAGAAGTCAAATAAGATTCAATACTATTATCTAGTAGGATAGAGGTCAGAGTACTAAATGTTCTCTCAAAAGTAAAAGAAAGGAAGGAAAGAAAAATCCTGCTTATGGTTGTGTATTGTCCTGCCACCTTGTCAGTGTGTACAACCCTTATGAGCAAATAAAAGGAGGTATAATATCTCTGTAATTCAGCAGCAGAACTTAATGGTATAAGTGAAAGCATCATTCAAGCCCATAAAGCTACTGAGTCCTTGTCATGGCCAAGCAATTCCATATTCCCTGTTGAGAGTTCTGGTGGATTTCTCATCTTAGTTTTCTAATGCCAGTGTCTAGTAAAAGGAAACAAGGATCATTGAAAAAATGGCTAATTATAGACTAGGGCAGAAGTTGTACAAGATAAGTCTGGTAAAGTTTGTATTACCAGAAGTAAGGAAATGTTTTACACACACACACATACAAACAGAGATGGTCATGTAAGAGACTCAGGAGTCTACTGAAAGAGCTCTAAGTAGCAAAAACTGAAATGATCTGAGGAACAGAATTAAGTACTATTGGATTATATCCCACATTATAAAGTACTTATAAGTTCATACTGATATAAATGAATGATTGAATGAATGGATAGATAATAGAGACAAGAAATCTGTGTGGATTTAAATATCTACATAATTTATGTGGAAATTTTCCCCTTACATGTGGGCTGCTCTTGTATCATCCTTCCAAATAGTGGAATATAGAAAGAGGGACAAAGAGTAACTCTGCTGACACTGATAGTGTGTATCCTGGATATGATGTGATGAACATGACTAGCTCTGTGGTCTCCTTCCCATAGCCCCAGTCTAATCGGGAGAGAAATGTCACCCAAACCTCAAGCAAGGGACATTCTACAAAATACCTGCCTGCTGCTCCTCAAAACTGTGACCAAGTCAGTAAAAACAGGGGAAGTTTGAGAAACTGACAACCAAGAGGCAGCTAGGGGAACACATGGTTAAATGTAATGTGGGATCCTGGAATAGAAAAGGACATCAGTAAAAACTAAGGAAATTTAAAAATCCAGGATTGAGAATTACGGTTATAGAAGGGTAGTAAAAAAGTGCCAAATTAGTGAAAGAAGATGGATGAGTTTACATTCTTATCATTTATATGCCTAGTTTTTGATTATACCATCAGAGTAAAATGGTCCATGTTTACATTTTCTTTACAGAAAATGATTCTGAAACAAGCACTTCTTATTGTACTGCAGTGGTGTTTCAATCACAATTTTAGTACTCGACTATATGCATTGGTTGCTCTTAAGAAAATTTGGAGCATGTGTAAATTGCTGCATGTTGAAGAATTCGATGCATTGACTTCTGTTATTGAATCCAGTCTCAGTCAAGTGGAAAACATGCATGGAGCAGGGTGAGTAGACCTTGTTCCTTCCTTTTATTTCTAAATGAGCACATGGGAGGATGCAGGAGGTGCCTGTGCTGATGGAGTTGAAGTATCCCATCATGCTGGAGCAGTTGGAGCTGGGAGAAGGCAAAGTTAAGCAGGACACTATTTGAGATCTGGAATGACAATTCTACTTGTCATCAGCTATTATTGCTCTTAATTCTCAGTCCTATATTTTATAATTTTCCACATATAGTCAAATGTTATCACCTTCTGCTGTAAAAGAACTGCTGAGAAAAGCAGCATGATCTGACTTAAAGATGCATTCTTAGCCCCTTGTTGGTTGGTTGTTATCAAGAGAGCTCTTCTGTTTCCAAACCAAATCCTACCTATTGTAGAAGCTCAATATTAAGTAAAATACTGCTACTGTGGCTGGCATGTGGGAAGGAGTATGTGACCCAGTATTTTGTAAAACCCTCTTTCTCCCACACCCATGAAGTTGAAGGTCACCAGACAAAAAAGCAGGCATATATCTCCTAGGTGTCTCCTGGTATATGAATTTATGTCTCATCGCTAAGTTATTGTTGCTGTTCTACTTTATTTTTTATTGATTATCACCATCCAGTGATGCTGAGATTTTTATAAATTTAAAGAGTTCCAGACATTATCAATCAGCATAAAATGTTTTTACTTAACTCAGAAGCAACCTAAAGGATAGTAGTTCGAAGCAGCTAAGGGGCATGTAAAATAGTGTTTGGAAAACACATGGCATATAGGAAGTTTGCCTTAACTTTAAAGTTAGGCAAATGAGTGCCTTCCTCGTGGTACAAGGTGTTAAGTCTCAGCACTAGGAAGCTATCACTGGCCACTGCAGCACAAGTTTGATTCAAGGCCAGTCTGCCACATGGTGTGGCAGACCTCTCCTGCCTCACCTGCTGCTCACCTCAGCAGTGTATTGCAGTCAGTCTGTCTTTTTAGCTCCTCACTTTGTCTCTGGTGAAGCCTCTCAACCCCCTACTCTGGCCTGTACTCCAGATCTTGTATGCATAACTATATAAAATCTTCAAAAAAATGAAATTAGGCAAATGAGACTATGAGTCATAAAGCTTCAGGTGGTACCAGAGCTAAGGTACTTCATGGTCACAAATTACTTTATAGCTCTTCTACCAGCTTTAACCTTTGACACATTTGTTGAAAAGAGGCATTTTGGTGATTTTGTAGTAAGGATATTTGGGGCTCAGAGAAAGGATATTCACTGCAACAAATATCAACACTAATGTGGAACAGGGAGAAGAAAATTGGGTGGAGAGATAAGATGTTCTAGATGAAGGATATAGGACAAAGGAAGGGGTAAACACCTCTGGTAAGTCATGCATAATTTAGTGTGCTAGAAAACTGCCTCAGATACTGGTTCCCAGCACAGTTTAATCATTAAAATTAGTAAAGTATTGTAGTGTTACCTATGATTCCAGACATATCCCTGCCCTGGCACCTACAATTTTTTGTTTTTTCACATGGTCTTTAAAGTCTCATTTCTTCTTGAGATGTGGGAGGAGAAGGCTTGAGGTAGGTAGCTAATGTTCATTAATATGGTCATACCTAAGTGATTGCACAGTCCTCTTCTGATGGGCACTTCAGTAATGGCTTTGCTTAGTTTAAGATTAGACATAAAGCCCTTTTGGAAAACTAGCATAGAGGGGTGGAGATGATTTAGAATGGGCAGATGGAGCAAAATCCAAAGGGATGGGATCAGAGCACAAATTGGGGTGGGGTCCTTTGGGAGAGACTCTGAGAGTGAAAGAGGACAGGTGCACAGGGAATGGGGGAAGATAAAAGGGTGCTTATCTGATAGAGCTATCAGTGAATGAGCCTATAGATAACCATGTCAATGGGGACAGTTTTGAAATGACAAGGGATATGGGATTCAGATATAGGAAGGATGAGTTTGAATTAGTTGTAGATGGGTAGGAAAGACTCAGGCTTCTGGTTAAGTATGGTTTTGAATGACTAAAAAAAAAATTAGTTTTAATAGTCTTGTGATTGTGGCAAAGATTTTCCCTCCAAATAATGTCTGCCATATTGAAATTTAACCATGAACTTGTCGCTGACTCAATGATTAGCACATATGTTTATCAAATGCTTCAAAACACTCCCAGGTATGCCTGAATTTTGTCTGAGCCAGTTTCATGAAGCTTTTCCTAAAGTCTGCTTTGTTTGACAAAGGATATATTGCTATTTCTCATTCTTCCACGAAGGGAAACCACACTATACAATAGTACACCATAAGTGAAAGGGCTTAAATTGAACCTGGAATGATTTTTGAAAGTAACAAATGTGGTTAGAAATAACCTTAAATGTTAGTGCAGAAACAGGCAATATTTAAGCTGAGCACATGCACCAGTGTAGGCCACATTCTAGTCTTCTGTTGTAGCTTGATAACACTGTTTGACATGTCGCACACAAAAGATCAGACTTCCATTTTTGCAGAAGTCAGGGGTGCCTAAGGGGATGAAAATTCACAAAACAACTAGGTCTGCTCATCATCCCAGATAATACATCTAGGGTTGTGTGTGTGTGTGTGTGTGTGTGTGTGTTTAACCTCTTTTGAGGTCTCTTTATTATAGCAGCTAAAAAAGACCTTACCGGATGTATACTGTGTTTCTACCTGTATGAATGTCTTTTGCAAAAGTAACAATAAAATCTTTAGGCTGTGATCAAGATGCTCTTTAAAAAAAAAAAAAAATCTCTCATCTGAGCTTGTCACCCACTGCTACATGAGCATAGATAGCAACCTGCTCTGGAAGTGAGAGGTGAGTAGAGGGTCTGCGAATTTTGGAGAGAGGTGAAGATTTTGGAGAGAGGTGAAGATTGGCCACAGCAAACAGAATCTGGCTTGCCAAGGAAATGGTTTGAAATTGCTACTTAAGCTTTTAAGTTGTTGGTCATGAATTAACCTGAAGCCTACTGACCCTGTATGTTATCCCTACCCCTTACCTTTGAAACTTAACAAATGTGTTCAGAATTTAAAACCTGTGTATATTAAATTTGTTTGGTTTAAAAAGCTGGTGTACCTTTTGGTTATATGTTGTGGCTGTTCAGAATAGAAAAAGTGATTTACATAATAGGCTTATGTCCTGAAAAAAACAAAAAACACGAAAGCACTTGCTGCCAGGGAGAGACTTAAGGATTTCAACCCAGATTTCTTGTATCATTTTCTCAAAGAATTCTTTTATCCCCTAAGTCTGTCAATAGTGTATCTGGTAGGCTGGCTCTATGAGATATTCCCATCCTTCACTGACAACCACCATTATCTCTCATCACTTTTCATGGAGCGCAGACCTCTCCACATTTTTCTATGTTGATCCCTTTACTTTAACTGTAGAAAATTGGGTTTTAGCTATACTGAGTCATTGTGTGATGCGTGACTTTGAGAGTAATTTATATTTCTGACTTTGAGTTTCATTTCAAAATATCAAGTGATTTCTGCTGTGTCTGTTGTGATTTCTCCTCTTTTGTTTATGATCCTATTTATTGTATTTTCTCCCATTTTTTTTCCTTTGTGAGCCTGGCTAGAGGTTTGTCTATTTTGTTTATTTTTTCAAAGAATCAGGTTTTGGTTTTGTATTCAAAGTGGGTTAAAGAACTATACATAAGACTTGAAGCCATAAAATATAGAAGAAAATATTGGTGAAACACTATACAACATTCACCTCAATAACATCTTTTAAGATACATCACCCAAATTAAGAATAGTGAAGGAAAGGATAAACAGTACATCAAATTGAAGAGCTTTTTGTACAGCAAAGGAAACACTATATAAAGCAAAAAGACACCCCACTGACTGGGAGAAAATTTTCACCCATAATGTGAATGGTAAAGGACTGGTCACAAAGATATACAAAGAGCTGATGAAACTCAACAAATATAAAGTGAACACCATCAAAAAATGGGTAGAGGGCGCTCCCTGGTGGTGCAACTTGTTAAAGCACCGCATTATGCAGCTCTCAGAAGCCACTGCAGCACCCAGGGAGCTGACCGATATGGCGTGGCAGACCTCTCCTGACCCTCCTGCTGCTCCCCTCAGCAGTATATTTCAGTAGATCTTATCTGCCTGTCCTGTTCCCCACTCTGACTGTGGTGAATGCTCTCACCCACCACACCTCTGGCCTGTACCCCAGTTCTATAAGAATAAATAAATCTGTAAAAAATAAAAAAAAATAAAAACTTAAAAAAAAAAAGGGCAGGAAATCTACAAAGACAATTCTCCAAAGAGGAAATGCAGACTTCTAGCAGACACATGAAAAAATGTTCAGCATCATTTGTAATAGAGGAAATGCAAATCAAACTACAGTGAGATACCACCTCACACATATTTAAAAAATCAAGCAACAGTAAATTGTGAGGGTGTGGAGAAAAAGGAACTCTCCTACACACTGCTGGTGGGAATGCAAACTGATAGAAACACTATGGAAAGCTATTTGGAGGTTTTTCCAACTGCTAAAAATGGACCTTCCATATGACCCAGCAATCCCACTCCTAGGGATCTACCCAAAGGACACAAAAGCAATAATTCAAAAGGATACTTGCACCCCTATGTTTATTGCTGTCCTATTTACAATAGGGAAGATGTGGCATCAACCCAAATGCCCAAAAATGGATGACTGGATCAGAAAGACACATCTTTTTGTGCTGTATGTATACACGATGGAATATTACTCAGCCATCAAAAAAGATAAACACATGCCTTTTATGGAAACATGGATGGAGCTGGAAGGGATCATTCTTGGTGAAATAGGCCAGAAAGAAAAAGAAAAATACTGGATGGTTTCACTCATAGCAGCGGTGTAAGGGATCAGGGGGAAAAAATGTGTATATAGTAATTGTAATAAAGTACGAAAAGAACATCAACTAACAACTATAAACCAGAGACATTCTATGGGGGAGGTGAAGGGAACAAGATTAAAGCAGGGTAAGAGGAGCCCATGGGCCTATGATGATGGCACATGGGTGAAGTGGTTGTTGGAAGTTCATGGGGATTAGAACTGAGATGAAAAAATGTATAAAATGAAGAATAATGTATGAATATATATATTTATATGTGTATATATATATTTAAAAATGTATATATATATTTAAATACAAAAAACAAAATTTATTGCTTTAACAAAATGTTTATTTTAATTGAAATATTTGTATCCCCTTCCCCCTAATCAGGTATTGCCACAAAAGCTTCACCAACCACCAGATCACCCATAGCACACCATCATAGTCCACCATGACTCCTTCCTTCTTTGTTCATTTCCCACTCTGGATGCTTCCAGGTCTAGAGTCAGTGAGTAAGGGTTAGTTTTTAAGCTTCTTTTTTTTAAATACCATCTTTAGTTTGGCTTTTCTGTAGTCCACATATTAATGACAGCATCCAGTATATATTTAGGGTCAGTTTTCAGAGTATATTAATCTTGAAGATACAGGTGTGTCTGATATAAAATTTTCCATTCATTCTAAGTTCTGTTGTACCTTTTAAAGAATTGATATTTCTCCTTTACCAGAGTTGTTTCATTTTCCTATACCTCACACCATATTTTTGATCATTAGGAATGCCAAGAAGAATTGGCAACGCATCCAAGAACATTTCTTTTTTGCAACATTTCACCCCCTTAAAGATTATTGTTTGGAGGTAAGCAAAGACTATCTTTTGTGAATTCTCTGTATCTTTAATCCTCAGATTTCCTGTTGTTGAAAGGTTATGCTTAGGTTAACGTTTTTTCCTTGCTTGGAAACATCACCTTAACATTGTAAAGTTCTAAGTTTAATTTTGTCACTTTCTGCAGATGACTTGCTTGCATTTCACTCATAAGCAGTGAAAATTGGCTAGTCATTTTCACTTTCTATTTCTCAGGCAGTGTCTGGCTTGTAAACACTGGAAGGGGGAATATTTAACTGTAAACAGAAATCTGTTCTGACATTAAAAGGAAATGAGTGAGAACATTTGTGCAGGTGAGATTTTGTTGTAATGAAGCCCATTGTTAATGAAAGAGCAAAAGATCTCCTATGTTAATTGTATTTTTTAGGTTCTGAGTGACTAAAGCTATATAGCAAATAATACACCACATATTGATTATAACAGAATGTGCTTATGTGCTTTTAAGAGCCATGAACATATTTATTACAGTTAGCATGTGGATTAACTAATATATAAATTATTAAACTTTGTATAATTTGTATTACTTTCATCTCTTTTAGCTATAGTTATAATATTTGCTTTGAAGTTAAAACATGTGACCTAGGACTTTTCCTCGAAGGACTCTGGGAGTATCAGTAACTTTAATTAATGTGCATTAGCAGTTTTTTTTTTCTGTATTGCTAATAAAAATGGTTTATAAAACCATTATCAATCTATATATTGTGAGATATTCATCGTCAAATGTTAACATGTACTGACTGTTGCTTCATTGCAAAAAATATTTAGGATTCTTTAAATATTAACACTCTGTTCTGTGTTCTTTAGCACCCAGAATGCTTTGTTTGACATCTTTCTGAAGGACTCTTTCAGTAACTCTCTAGTGTTAAGTCAACCTTTTCTATTCAGTTCTCCAGCAGGAGTAAGTCCCTTATTTCCCTCTTTCCTTCATCCCTGACTTTCACTGGCTCAGTTGCATACATTTCATTCTGTATTAATGATACAAATCATAACTTTGTCTCTGTAAGTTTGGAGTGATACTTAGTACCTACTTGATAAACATGAAGTTACCATCATGCTTGCTTAAATGTGTAGAAATACTGCTCGCATGAAGGAAAACTTGTCCTAAAGACTTTTGTCTTTGCACACTCTTATTACTTCACTTTAAAATTGCTTATTACTCGTACTTTTGCTTCTTATGTGTCATTTCACCTTGGGTGATATTCTGGTTCTGATTTCTTCTAGGCATAGGTAAAGGGAAGGGAAGGGAAGGAGTATTGCTTTAGTGTTGATTAAATAATTACTATTTACAGTGGTATCACACTGTGTGGTTTGCAAAATACTTTCATGTGCTTTTTTAACCTGATTTTACCCTCATTTTATAAATGAGGAACTTGAAATCAAGACAGTTTAAGTGGCTTGTCTGACACCACACAGCTAATATATAGTCAAGTAAAATTTAGATTCTAAATTTTGTCTGCTTGTACTAAGAAAAAAACTTGGCATCAGGAGAGCTTGAACTTGATTGTTTGTGGTGGTGTATGGTTATCAATAAATATCATTCATTCACACATTGATGCCACTCAATACCAAAAGATTTTTTTGCCTTTATTAAGAGCACAGTGTTTTATTATGTTTAATTAGAAATATCAGAGTATAAGACTTGCCTTGTCTCAAGAATTTTCTGAATTAATCACCTAATTTCTTAGAGAAAATAAGAAATACATTGTCAGAGATGTAACGGAGAATGTGCAACCTTAACTAGCTATCATGGTTTCTAAGAAAACTTAGCAATAAATTGTGCTTTAAACATGTTGTCATGTATTTCTTTGCTATTTTTAAGGGGAAAAGTTAGATTTTGTAATTTTCTTTTCAGACTGTATTTTACATCCTTCCACGTCTTTCCAGCCTTGTTGAAGATGAGTGGATTGCCATTGATAAATTTACCAGCTTCACAGACATTCCTTTAGATGCAGGATTTCAGTGGTACCTTTCTTCAACTGGTCTTAGTGAACTAAAACCAGGTGACTGGTCTCAGCAGGACATAGGTAAAAAGAATTTTGCTTGTTTTTCCTCATGTTGACTTGGTCAGGTTTATAATTTAAGTTCATTAGAACAGATAGTTACCACTTTTTCATTGATAGGATATCTCTGCTACTACTCACAGAGAAATGAGTGAAAAGAATGTGATAGATCTGTAACTAGTATCTTTATTTGTGGTTGGCCTTGCTATGAAAATGACAGAGAGCCTGATATTAGTAGCATCTCTTAGATATTAGATATTAGTAGCATCTCTTTTCTCTGAAATATTAATATTAGCTCTTCCACTGTATCTATAAAAATATGTATTTTAAAAAGGGCCAAATTATAAAATCTCCTTTTTTTGTTTCATTTAGGAATAAAGCAGAGCTCTTAATTCTAGTTCTGTCTCAGTCTGGTTGGACATCATTCATCTGTTCTCTCTTCTTTCTCCTGTATCTTGAGCTCCTTTTATACAGATTCCTTACGTTCAGTATTTGCTAGGACTTAGAATCCCCTTGATTGCTCACTTCCTCTTCCTTCCCTTCATAAAAAAGTGCCCTAAAAAATACAAGATTAAACATCCCACTCCCCACAATTTTTAAAATCACAGCTAATCTTAGTAGGTATGTAGAGTAATCTATATCCTCATCATTTCTGTCATTCTCATATTGTCCTCATTCTCACTCTCCCTAACCATAACCATAAATTAAACTTTTTCAGAAAACCAAAACTTCCCTTTGTCTCCTTTACAAAATCTAAATAGGTGCCCTTTATCATACCTGACCTTGTAGCACTGATTTGCTTAGTTTTTGCTATCCTGACTTTCCTGCTAAATCTCAACCTCCTAAACCTTATTCTCCTTTATAATTTCTCCCACGTATACCTTATATTTGTGGTTCTCCAAAAGTTGTTAAGAAATACCTTAGGCAACTTATTAAAAGTGCAGAATTTTGTGTCCCACTCTTATATTTTAACTCAAAATATGCAGGAGAGTTCCGTGAAAGTGCATTTTTGTTTTTTCAATCAAGCACTGGTTGCTTCACTCATGCATTTTAAGTCATCACCATCTCATCCAAAGATTTATTGATTACCTCCCATGTAGATATGAGACAAGTCTCTGCTTTCATGGAGCTTACATTGCTCCACAGGGAGATAGTTCTAAACAAATATTTAAGATAATGTGAGGTAGGAAAAAGTACAATGAGGAACACAAGCAGGGTAAAGGGATAGTGACAGATAATTTTTTAAAAAAACTATCTTAAGGAGTTGACATTGAACAGAGACCTACATGAAATAAATGCAGGTCAAGCAACGATCAGGGGAGAATATTCCCAGAATAGAGAACAACAAAGTATAAAGATTTGGGAGCAAAAGATGGTACAAGAGTCATTTCATCAGTGTAGGGGGGGGGGGAACAAACTGACTCTGATGTGGGCAGAGCAGAGACTGGAGGGGGGGAAGGGTAAGAAAGATGATATTTTTGCAAAATGATTTGAGTTCTTTGAAAGAGTAGAGAAGAGAAACAAGGTGTTACTTGGATGGGGAGAAGGCTAGTGAGTTCTTTCTGTTTGTATTTGTTTTGGTAGCGAGAAATAAGAGATATTACAATTTTGGGGGTATTTATTTATGCATACAAGGACTGGGGCACAAGCCAGAGGTGCCAGGGCCAGTAAGTGGATTAACCAGAGAGTTATTTCAGATTGACTGAAATACACTGCTGAGGGGAGCAGCGGGGTGATAGAGGAGGTCTGCCACACCATGTGGGTCTGCCCCCAGGTGATTGAATTCCTGCTGCAGTAGCTATGGATAGGTTTGTAGTGCTGTGCTTTAACCCATTGTACCACTAGGCAATGTGTTTTTTATGCTGAGATTTAAATGGTAGTGTTACAGGGCACCCCAACGTGAACTGGGATGCCTGTCTGTGGGTCTTCACCCGTGCGCTTACGATTCAATCGTATTATGGACACACTCAAAAGGTTAAATAATGGATTTATTTATAAGGAGAAAGGTAAAGGAATAACCCAGGGAAAGAGGGAGAGAAACACAGGTTAACTAGGATGTCCTACCAGTTCTGCTGACTTGGACTCCACCAGCACGCTGAAAACCGATTGAGAGCCAAAACGATCAGCTGCTAACCACCAACCAGGTGTCCTCCTCCCCCCCCCCACCCCCCAAGCCCACATGTCCAGTTTTGTCCCAAACTGGCTGCTCAGCTCCGGCCTCACGTCCTGGAGTGCTTCTCCTTGGTACTGATAGGATTTGGAGTTCCAGCATCTGGAGTGGGGGCGGAGTCCATGAAACCTGTACCTGTTACAGTAGTAGCCTCTGAATGTTTCTATTGGCCTGTTTTTTTTCTTAACTATGAACATTTTTATTAAATTTCAACACCTTGAAACCATTACCTATACAACTGTAACTTTCAAATCCTCATCTGTGTTCAGCATCTTTCATGAATCTTCTGGACATTTGAGATATTCCAATGCTCTTTCATCAATGTAGCCCTGTCAAATTTCTGCCCAAACTTGCCTCTTCTATAGTCCCTTCCTACTAACAGCATCACTTGATCACAGATTCATTCTTTAGTTTTCTCTCTTGACACACGCATCTATTACCAAATTGTGGTTATTCTGCTTCTCGTATTTGGCTTCAGCTCCTCTCAACTCCCTTGCTGTGACTTAATTTAGACTTCGTCTTTGACTGCACTAATAGTTTTCCAATACCAACTTACGAATTTTTCTAAAACACAAAACCATTGCAGATGTTTCTCAATTTGTAATGGGGTAATATCCTGATAAAACTATCTTTAGTTGAATCTTAAGTCAAAATGCCAGCTAGGAGCTTTGACTCCCTGCTGCTGCCTAACATCACAACAAAGTGTTATTTTGTGGTTTCTACTAAAAGCCTAACAGTTTCCCACCATTCTCCAGTCAAAAATCATAAGTCAAACCATCATAAGTCGGGAATACCCTGTACTGAATCCCCTTCATAAGTAAAACCTTATACGGCACTCTATCTGCAGGATGAATATTTTATTATTATATATAAAGTTCTTATGACCTAGTCTGAACCATCTTCCTCGCTCCATTACAAGGGTGTGAGTTACACCAGAATACTGCCTGAAATCACTCCCTTTCATGCCCTGTGAGTGTGCACACGCTGGACCTGGAGTCTGCACTGCCCTTCTCATGCTCTGCACTGTGCTACCAAACTGTGATACTGTATCTATGAATTCTAAGCTGCTCCCTAATTTTGGATAAGCTAAAATATTAAGGGCCTTAAAGTTTCATTAAATGTATTCATTACAATTGAATTTGATAACTTAAAATTACTACTTAAATTTGATCATTATGTCTAAAACCAAGTGAAGTTGTCATTATGACCTATTAAAATATAATTAATATAAGTAATCAAGTAAATACATGAAGTGTGAGGGAGAACTTTATACAGAAATATTTTTCCTTCTCAGGTTCTAGCTCAGGAGAAGTGGATAACCAATCAGAATGGACTGATGTTCAGAAGAAGATTATACCATGGAAAAACAATGTTCCAGATTTAGATGTGGAGTTAATATTTCAGGATCGTGCTGCTAAACTTGGAAAATCAGTTAGTGGACTGATTGTAGTAGCCTCGCTCATTGATAAACCAACCAATTTAGGAGGTAAAATTATAATAGTTCAGGGAAGTTGCTCAAAATCTTTTGCTCCTGAGAAGTTTTTAATCAACCCACTACCATTTTGGTCTATCTTTTCTACTTTTACCCTTTTGGGGGTGTTTTAGAGTACCACATGGACATAATGAGCTTAGCTTTTACAGCAAACATTAATTCCAGCTTATTCTGTGTAGGACTATGCCGAACCTGTGAGGTTTTTGGAGCCTCAGTGCTTGTTGTTGGCAATCTACAGTGTATCAAAGACAAACAGTTTCAGCACCTCAGTGTTTCTGCAGAGCAATGGCTTCCTTTAGTGGAGGTAGGTGGGATATAACTTAATGGATTTTTTTATTTGCTCAAATCTTTTATTCTCTCAATCTTCATGTATCAGTCCTGTTGCAGTAATACATGGTGATCTTTTAATTGTTTCTAAATGATACATAAAGTACAGCTCAAGTCTCTTCTCCTTGCCTCTTCTCTTTCATTGTCTTTTGTCTTTCATATCTTTGTAGTTTTAGAAATTTGTCAATAACAGAATTCTTTTCATAAAATGTACCATGTTGCAACCCACTATGGATTTAGGGATAATTTGATTGAATGTATGTGGTTGGGAGAGCTTTTTCTTATCATATGTAATTCTATCCTTTTCCTTTTAAAAAACTTTAACAAGCTTGATTTAATAAGTTGCTTAGAAACTCTGATTTTACCCCAAACAGCTATAACTGACTAAATATTGAATATTCTTTTTAAACTAATATCAAGGTAAAAGCATCCCAGTTAATTGATTATCTACAACAGAAAAGAGGAGAAGGTTATACCATCATTGGCGTAGAACAAACTGCCAAAAGTTTAGCTCTAAATCAATACTGCTTTCCTGAGAAATCTCTACTCATCTTGGGGTAAGAAAATTCTCTAATGTATATTCTGAGTGTCAGCTTGAGAAATGTTTCAGATATGTTAACAGTTTACCTCGGTTCTTGCTCTTACATATGCACTTAACTTTTGACTTTTGACTTGTGTAGTATATGAAAAGCCTGCTCCCCCCCCACTCCCAACCCTTACACACTTTTATTTAATTGTACTTGTTTGGTGTGGTCCGGTAAATACATAATTGACCCATAAATGTTTGTTGCATTCTTATTTAATTTCATGAGACTAGAGTTACATCATTTCATTCTTCTGTCTCTTACAGTAATATGCAGAATATCTGAAAAGGAAAAAAAAAAGCATTTGTTTCAAGAAAACTAACCTTTGTTTCCCCATTTTTCTTCAACAGAAATGAACGTGAAGGGATTCCAGCCAATCTGATCCAGCAACTGGATGTTTGTGTGGAAATCCCTCAACAAGGCATCATACGGTCACTTAATGTCCATGTGAGTGGAGCTTTGCTCATTTGGGAGTACACCAGACAGCAGCTGCTTAAGCATGGGGACAGTGAGACATGAAGCTTGTGCCTCATCTAAGAGGAAATATTGGTGCTATTGAAACATATTTTAAAAACTCTGGACTATTGAAATAGATTCTGAAATTTACTGGGATAATTTGTATTTTTTCTTGAAAGTTAATGCCAAAAAATTTTCATGTGCCTTAAAGTTATTACTATATGTTGTCGCCTTTAATAAAAAAGTTTAGCTGAATGTTTTGTTTCTTTAATAAAATATTTTAAGCAGTATTGTAAATATAGCAATCTATTAATGTGTAGATAATTTCCTAAAAATCAGTATTGTCAGAAATGTGAATGATGATAAGAATAAGGTAGACTTAAGACAGCTGTTATCTATGAATCCTGGAGCCTTCTCATAAGAAAACGTGAAGGGTGGAAGCAAAAATCCTGTCACTCTGGATCTGCTTATTCTCAGGGAGGAAACATGCTTGGCAAGATGCTGACCTCCTTTTCTTGTAAAGTTCATAAAATTTTACATGGCTTTATTCTTAAATCCATAAGCTAGGTGATAATGATGTTTTCAGAAAACTTTTTATATTATCATCTTTGCTCATGGAATTAAAATAGTGCCTGTAAGCAGTCTAATAACTGTCCCAAAGGAGGTGATTTATTCTTAGACTTCAGTCTCAGAAGTAGGGTTGGAACCCATGAACATTGATTTTCCCTGTTCTTTTTGTATTTTGTTTAATACTTGGATTGTTTTATTTGATGGTAACTGTCAGCATCCAGCAATAATGTAGTTTCTATAATCCCTTCATACAGATGCCTCTGACAGGATGTTACATCACCAAGGATATTAATCAAAAACAATAAATTAACTGCTGATAATACTGTGCACAATACTAGAGCCTACAAATCTGATCTGTATTCAGATTTCCCATTTTTCACTAATCAGGAGCCAGGTACAGGACACTTGGTCCTTGTCTTTATGACCTTGATAATTTTGAAGAGTATTCAGATATTTTGTATGTTTCTTAATTTGGGTTTGTCTGGTATTTTCTCATGATCAAACAAATGGGAAGTATGGATTAAAAGAAAGTATACTGTAGTGACACAATGCCCATTTCATCACATCTCAGCATGACTTAGCACCCTCAGTCATTTAAGGCAATGTTTCTCATGCTATTTTCTTTTCCACAGTCTGTTTGCTGCAAGCAAGTCACTAAATCTCGCCTACACTCAAAAGTAGGGAAACTACGTTTCACCTCTTAAAGAGAAAAGTATAGAAGAATTTGCTACAGTAATTAATATTTTAGGCAGAATTCGGAGGCTATACTAATACATTGTTCCTTTTAAACATTTAACCAGTGATGTTTATTCTTCAATGATTTACAAAAGTATTTAAGTCTGGGGGAGATGCAGCTTTTCAATAAATGTATGAATCACACTGCATCCACCACTGAATATCTAGAAGGATTCACTAATAGGAACTGCACCCCGAACTTTGTTGCAGTTTTTTCAGAATTGTTTTGGATATCTTAGGTTCTTTACCTTTCTAAAGAAATTTAAAATCAGCTTGCCAATATCTACTCAAAAAAGCTTGCTGGGAATTCAACTGGGATTATATTCAACTGGGATTATATTCAACCTACAGAACAATTTAGGGAGAATTTATTGAACTTACTATCTTTTTTAAATTTTTATTTTATACACATATTCTACATCATTCTTCATCTTGTACATTTTTTCATCTCAGTTGTAATGCCCGTGGACTTCACCCATGTGCCATCACCATAGTCCCATGTGCTCTTGCCACTCATTTTGATCTTCTTCTCCTTTCCTCACCCTTAAAATGGTTTATAGTTTATAGTTGCTAATTGTTCTTTTTTACTGTATTACTATAAGTATGTATTAAATATATTCTCCCCCTACACTCCTGATGAGTAAAATTATCTGGTAGATTTTCTTTCTGGCTTATTTCACTACAAATGATTCCTTCCAGCTCTATCCATGTTGCTGCAAATAGCATGTTTTTTGATTGCTGAGTAATATTCCTCTGTGTGTGTGTACCATATCTTCTTGATCCAGTCATCTGTTTTTGGGCATTTAGGTTGATTTCATCTTTCCTATTGTAAATAGGGTAGCAATAAACATGGGGGTGCAGGTATCTTTTGGAATTATGTTTTGTGTCCTTTGGGTAAATCCCTAAGAGTGGAATTGATGGATCATACAGAAGCACCATTTTTAGCAGTTGGAGAAAACTTCAAACAGCTTTTGATAGTGGGCGCACCAGTTTGCATTACCAGCAGTATATAGGAGAGTTCCTTTTTCTCCTCACCAACATTTACTGTTGCTTGTTTTTTTGATGTGTGAGATGGTATCTCATTGTAGTTTTGATTAGTATTTCACTTATACAAATGATGCTGAACATTTTTTTCATAAGTTTGTTGGATGTCTGCATATCCTCTTTGGAGTTGTGTCTTTGTAGCTTTTCTGCCCATTTTTTGATAGGATTGTTCACTTATATTGGTTGAGTTTCATCAGCTTTTTGTATATCTGTGACCAGTCCTTTATCATTTGTATTATGTGGGAAAATTTTCTCCCAGTCAGTGGGAGTGTCTGCTTTATGTAGTTTCTCTTTTGCTGTACAGAAACTCTTCAATTTGATGTAGAAAACCCAGAGATAAATCCACAACTCTATGGACAGCTAATCTTTGACAAAGGAGCAAAGAATATGCAATAGAACAAAGAAAGTTTGTTCAACAAATGGTGCTGGGAAAGTTGGGCTGCTACGTGCAACAAAAAGAAGCTAGATTACTACCTCACACCAAACACAAAACCAACTCAAAATGGATTAAAGACCTAGTTGTAAGACTTGAAACCATAAAATATATAGAAAATATTGGTGAAACACTACACAACGTATACCTCAGTAACATCTTTAAAAGATAGATCGCCCAAAGCAAGGATAGTGAAAGAAAGGATAAACAGCTGGGACTATATCAAATAGAACTTACTATCTTAACAATATTGTATCTTCTAATCCATGAAGAGTATTTGTTTCCAACTAATTAGATCTTCTCTGATGTTAAGGGTTTTGGAGTTCTCAAACTATATTTGTTAGACTTACACCTAAATTTTTTTTTCATGTGCTATTGTTAAGTGGTGTAATTTGTATTTAAAGTTCTAGTTAGTCATTGCTGGCATTCAGCCAATGTGATCTTTGTATGTTGACCTTATTTCATCTTTTTAAGAGTCACAAGTTTAGGGGCTCTCTGTGATACTTTGCAATTTTTTTTTTAAATATTTATTTATTCATACAGAACTGGGGTACAGGCCAGAGATGCAGAGGGTGAGAGGATTCACCAGAGACAGAGTGGGGAGCAGAACAGGCAGATCGACGAAGTACACTGCTGAGGGGAGCAGCGGGCAGGTCAGGAGAGGTCTGCCATGCCATGTGGTCACCTCTGGGGCAGGCGGGGTTCGAACTCATGCGGAAGTGGCTTTAGCTTCTCAGTGCAGTGCTTTAACCCGCTGCGCCACCAGGGAGGGCCCTACTTTGCAATTTTTTAAGAGATGAAAATATCATTGCACAAAAACTGTTTTAGTGCTTCCTTCCCAATTTGCATGTTTTTTTTCTTTTTTGTCTTATTTAATTAGCTTGGAATCCCAAACAATGTTCAATAGGAAAAGTGACAGGATAGCCTTTCCTTGTTACTGATTAGGGGAAAAAGCATCAATTGTCACATCATCAAGTGATGTGTAGGTGATCTTTGTTATTTTACTTGCATATTTAAGTTTAATCCTCTTCCAGTCTTTATTTTTTTGTACCTGTATTAAAATACCATCTCTGGCCCTGCCTGGTGACACAATGGGTTAGGACACAGCACTGCAAGCAAGCCACAGCCCCTTCAGTGTGAATTCAATCCCCAGCCCTGGAAGTGATCCACATGGCGCAGTAGACCTCTCCTGACCTGCTGGCTGCTCCCCTTAGCAATGTACTTCGCTGAGCTGCTTGTTCTGCTCCCCACTCTGTCTCTGGTGACTCCTCACTGCCCCTGCACCTCTGGCCTGTACCCTAGTTCTATATGCATAAATAAATAAATCTTAAAAAAAAAAATAGCACAACAAGGAACTTGGTGTACATGTCATTAAAAAAAATAATAGGCTCTCCCTGGTGGCGCAGTGGGGTAAAGCACAGCACTGAGAAGCTAAAGCCACTTCAACACGAGTTTGATTCCCGCCCCAGAGGTGACAGCATGGCAAAGCAGACCTCTCCTGACCCGCCCCGCTGCTCCCCTCAGCAGTGTGCTTCATGGATCTGCCTGTTCTACTCCCTACTCTGTTTCTGGTGAAGCCTCTCGCCGCCCCGGCACCTCTGGCCTGTACCCCAGTTCTATATGCATAAATAAATATATTTTAAAGATTTATTCATTTGTGCATACAGAACTGGGGTACAGGTCAGAGGCTCAGGGGCGGCGAGAGGCTTCACCAGAGACAGAGTGGGGAGCAGAACAGGCTGATCGATGAAGCACACTGCTGAGGGGAGCAGCGGGCAGGTCAGGAGAGGTCTGCCACACCATATGGTCACCTCCGGGGCAGACGGGAATCGAACACACGCGGAAGTGGCTTCAGCTTCTCAGTGCTGTGCTTTAACCCACTGCACCACCAGGGAGGGCCTAAATAAATAAATCTTTTTTAAAAATAATAAAAAAATACTATATCTGAGGATGGCCTACCTTTTCCATATCTATTCGTGTAATATCTGACTACCATACTTCCAAACCAAAAGGAAAAAGGGAGTACAAGTTATTTTTTTTTTTGTATGGGTTTTAATTTTCTTAAAATATAGACTTCTTGCTAAATTACAGCTAAGCATTTTTTATATCACTTTAATTTCTATTTGAATGGTGGGCTTTTTGGTTACCTCATCATTTTTAGGTTAAGTGTTGTATACAAGGATCAAGTTCTGATGTTTACCATCAGTACTACTGTCCTGAAGTCAATGGAGAATTGTTGAATGTCCATAAATAATGGCTTCAACTTTTCTGAAAAACAGGAACAGCCTAGGATTTTGCAGTTGTGTTTGAAGGCTGGAATTGTCCCGCTTCAAATTTTTCTTTGAATTTTAAGTAGTCTCTTCTTTTATCAAAGTATTTTATCTGTTGAGAAAAAGGATTTTGAAATAAGATTAAGTTATACAGCTTAGACAAACAAGCACAGATTCAAATTAACAGATTATTCAATATAAATTATGTAAGTGGCATTAAATATGAGACTGTTGTCTTCTAGAACCATTTTGAATCAGTTCATTCGATGTACAAAAGTTTCTCAAGGATGTAAAACACTGACCCTAGCCTGTTTTGGGTTTCAGACTACTGAGTATTTGAATAACCCACGAACAATGTCCTCAAGAAATACATGTGTTTTGACATAGGAAACTTGCTGCGAGTTCAGGGTTCACAGAGCTCTCAGGTCATCTGACTTCATGATGTAAAGACATAAGTTTTTGTTAAAACTAAGTTCAATAAATTTTGTTCACTCACAAGTCATAAGTTTTTATATCAACTTTATCTTACCCAGAAACATACTTTTAAAGCAATGAACACATAGTAAAATGTATACATTGATGGTAAAATTCAATAAATTCCAAGGACTTCATCCTAATCTTTGTATTCTTCTCTTGCCATAGAAGATTTGAAATCTAAAGCCCCGTGTCCTGAAACTGTAAAGTGACAGACAAACAAAAGCAAAGCCTGACACAAAATTGTCCTCATTTCTACATCTGAGCTGCTCTCCACACAAGGCAAAGGCAGAATACCATACATTAAAAATGTTAGAAAACACTGGGCATTTCGTTAAAAGCTTTCCTTAGAATTAGATTCTTAAATATTTTAGTAGTGCCTGAGTAAATGTAAATTAATTTAGACTGAAAATGTAGAAATCTACCCTGTTCCCTCTCATGATGTAGACAAGATGCAGTCAGCTCCCAAGTTAACATTACGGGGAGAACAACTCCTATAGCCACAGACTATTTGAATGTGCCCCGCTGACTAATGACTACTTTCTTATTCACCCAAAAAAATCTTGTTCTCTAAAATCATAGGCCATCAGAAAGAACTTTGAAGTTCCACAGGTAACTGGAGAATCTGAGAAAGTCTGCAGAGAGCAGCCTCATTGCCATCCCAGATACAGACTTCAAATAAGAGGTTTCTGAACATGATATTCAGCATTCAAATATACAGAAAATAGGACTCTGGGTTCACATCTTAGTCCAGAACTAATGACCTATTTATACACAGCCCCACTTTCTTCTGGGCCTCTCAGAGCACTGCTTTATTTCAGTTTTACCTAAATTCTACAATTATTACTTAGTATTATCTACTAAAGTCTACTATTCCCCACAAATCTTCTTGATAATTCCTTTCCTGTGGTTGGTGAGATGTCCAGTGCTGGTGTTTGGTTTTGCTGTGACAACTTTGAAATCTGGATGTCAGTTTTCCTTCTAGTGCCCTTGGGATCACTGTGCCAGGACAGGTGTAATATATAAAGGACACCACAGGAAGAAGTGCTGTGGCAAATTAATAGGCTTCTGTATCTCCTGTCACGTCTGAACTACCTAATGTGCAGTTCCACTTAGTGGCCCCACTGGTAGTCCATTCCCAGTCTGTGTGGGACTGTGCCTCTCCAAAGGTGTTTCCCCTGTTAGTATCTATTCAGTGACTGCATCATTATTCGTTCAGATATATGACTTCTTCCCCTGCCTTGATTACACAGTACAGGCCTCATCATTTCTCACTTGGATTGCTTTAATGACCCTTAAACTGGTTTCTTTACCCTCCTTAAATCACATGTTAATACTCCCAAACACCTTTTTAAAACCTAAATCTGCTGTTACTTGCTTATTAAAAGACTGTTCACGATACTCCAAACCCCTCAATAAGACAAGAGCTTTCACTATATCTCTGCCTATCTGTTCATCCTCTGAATTTGCTACCTGTTACTGAAATGCTAGATATGCAAAGGTACTAATTTCCTAAAAGGGCTAAATTTTTTGTGCATCTTGCTTCCATTGCCTTTGCACATATACCACACTCTGCCTGTAAAGCTCTTCTCTTCAGCATTTTCCTCTTCATTCAATTAACAGTTAAAGACCCCCAATATGTAACACTTTCTCTAAAAGGCTATTGAGTCAAGCATATATTGAGAAGCATTCTGTATATATAATACAGGTGTCCCTTAAACCATTAAATGAGACTAAGAATAATAGGATGAATGTCAAATATTGGAACTTCTAACACATTTCAAAGATGTATAGGGATAAACTGATACTAGCATCTTAACCTCAGGTATATGGCTGTTCTATTTGTGAAAGACTCTTGGATGGCACTAGAATAATAGACCTGATCCCTGTTGCTTTTTAAGTGATCAAGGAATAGAAGATTTACAGTAGGGTCTTTATTTAGGTTAAAGTGATGAGTGGCACATTTGCTGTGTAACAAATTTGTATTTTTACTGTATTATGATACAAGTACTATAACTCTATTTGGTTGTTATATTTTTATTTTTATTCTTTGGATGTGATGTCATCTAAGTAAAAATGACTAACTTTGAAATTATGGAGGCCTACATTTGAATCCCCCTCTAATACCTCACTGGTTACATGATCTGGCGTAATGTATTTTCACCTTTCTGAGCATTAGTTCCTATTGTGTAAAAGAGATACAATGGTACTTTACAAGGCTGAATGAAAATGAAAGTTAATGAAAGCAAAAGTCTCATACAGAATGCACTCATGTCCCTCCATTTCTTTGCCTCCTGCACATTTCTGGAAAAATCTGTTTTTATTCTATGATTACTGGGTAAGACATCAACAAGATAATATTTAAGTAGGAGAAAAGAGAGCAAAGGTGAAAAAAAGTAGGAGAAAGGGAGCAAAGGAGAAAGAAAGTAGGGGAAAAGGGAGCAAAAGACTAAGGTGGTGTACAGAGAAATTTCAGTTATGGAATAAGAGAGTAGTGCTATAGAAGGAAAATAGTTTTAAATGGGAAAACAATTATCCTTATCAAATGTGGCAGACACCAATTAGGATATTTACTGCACTACTCACTCTTTTGTTGGAATCATCCATAACTTTGTAGGTCACTGTATTTTCTCCAGCAATATCATGATTTCCTAATTCCTGGTTGCTTTCAGTATCCTTCTAAAACCCTGGCCACTCAGTTCCTTGACCTCTTCAATGATCCTGCCCTTTAATTTACTTTACTCTCAAGATCAAAGTGTAGACTTTGCCCTGGCCAATACCACAGGTGTACCAACATCCCAAGTCCAAATATTCCATCCTCTACCCAGCACCTGCTCACTCTCCCTCCAGGGCCCAGCACCGATGTCAACAACTCACCGATGCTACCACCTTTCAATAAACTGTCATCCCTCTTATATCCTCAGTGTCTCTTTAGTCCCAAATTCAAAGCCCTCCAGTAGTTTCCTCTTACCACTCAAAGTAAAAACTACAGAAAGTTCAACCACTTCTGAGTCTGGAAAAAGAGCCAAGCTGGAAATGTCAACTTGTACATTAGCACACAAGTGGTACTTCAAACCATGGCTGTGGACAAGATTGCACTGAGAGTTTGTAGCATCATAAGAAACTCTAAAGAGCACTGGCATTTGACACACACAAAAATAATATTCCAAAAAGCAGTGGCTGCTAGAAATGATGGTGGGGATGGGGTGGGAGAGAAACTAGGAGAGTGAATTGTAAAAGCCCAAATAAAAAAAGGTTTTTATATTTATATAAACTGGAATTATAACTAATTTTCTAGAACAACATGAAACTTGTACAAGGTATTACCATGTATGTTCCTTGCATGACAGTCACGGGAAGAAGTATGTGGAGTTGGGAAGGGCATAAAGTCTGCACTCGACTACCTACCTCAAATCCAGGTCCTGCATTTTACAAGTGACTTCATCTTAATGTGTCCATGTTCTCATCTATAAAACTGGGTATTCAGGGCCCTCCCTCGTGGCACAGCATGTTAAAGCACAGCACTAAGAAGCTAAAGTCACTTCAGCATGAGTTCGATCCTGCCCCGGAAGTGACCCACATGGCGTGGCAGACCTCTCCTAATCAGCCCGCTGCTCCCCTCAGCAGTGTTCTTTGTCGATCTGCCCATTCTGCTCCCCACTCTGTCTCTGGTGAATCCTCTCGCCACCCCTCACCTCTGGCCTGTACCCCAGTTCTGTATGCACAAATAAATAAATCTTAAAAAAAAAAAAAAACAACAACAAACTGGGTATTCAGAGTTATTGTGAGAATTAATGAGATAATTAAACTCATTTGAAGCATTTATAGAGCATGTACCCAATTAGACCTGTGACATGGCACTCAGCCTGTGTATGAATAAAAGAGACATAGAAGAAAGGACGAACTGATAGGCTGTAAAGTGACGTTTTATGATGCAGAAAATGAAAGTTACCCTGAAAGCAGGGGAGTGGGAGCAGTGTACTAGCTAGCGGCAAGGCTGGAGAAAAAGCAGTGAGTATCAGAGAATTAAGAGGATAGAAACAACTGAGTGTGACTTACCAAAGGGCTTAAGACAACAATTCCTAACCATGGTTATACCTCAGAATCGCTTGTAGAGCCAGACCCTTTCAAAAGAAGCTTGGTTACTATTCCATACATTTAATAGAATTGAAGTGAGGTCTGGGACATAGCTATTTAAAAAAAAAAAAAAAATCACAGGATTCTGACTTGCAACCCAAGTGGAAATCATGGTTACGCTGTCAAAGACAGGTCTAAGAATGACAAAGTTCTC